TATTTATTGAGGGAAAATTAAATTCATACACATTCTAATTTAGACACAATCCTGGCATTTTAGTGCCATGAAGAACACATATTGCCCTCATACATAACTATGTTGTTTTTTTTTCTTTCCCTAACAACAATAATAATAACGATAATAAAATAAAAAAAAATAACATCGCACACATTTTTAACCTATTTTGCTTGGCGAAATCCTTATCTTTCTCATGCACTTGCAGATAGGTTATTTCAATGGCTTTGTAATGCCATTGTGCAAATGCACCATCATTTACCCAGTTTTTCACTGAGGTTCACACGGACGTTGACTGAGGTGTCCAAAATGCTAGTCATTTTGGGCTCTAAATAAACCTTCGTGCGTGTCCACTCTCCCTGGCTTCCGTCTTTTCTGCCATGTCTGGAATCTTTACAGTAAGATTTGAATGAGTTCACCCTCTCTTAATATCCTTGCATAAGCCCCTGTTCTCTTGGACTTTCTAGAAGCCGTTTGCTTGCTCCGGTTTAAGAGCCTCCTCCTAGGGCCGCGCTGCGCCTCCTGGGGGCTGCTGCGGGAACTGCGGCCCTGGACTGCCACTGGCCGTAGCCTTGGCTCGGGCAGAAGCTGGGGCTGGCCGGGGAGGCTGGGCTCCGCGCGCTTTTGCCCGGATCGAGCCGGCGGGCCAGGCGACCAGACGCGCAGCACCGAAGCTGTAGGAGCCCGAGAAGAAAGAGCCAGTGTGCGCCGGGCAAGTCCAAAGGCTTCTTCAGGCACAGCGACTGGCGGGGAGGGGCACGGGCAGGGAGGCCACAATCCCCAGCCAGGACAAAGGGGCCTCAGTGCTGGCGAACAGGCGGCTCCCGGGGCCTGGTGGTAGCATAAAGGACGCTGTGTCTCCGCAGCACTCAAGATCACCTTTGTCTTCTGAGTCCAAGTCAAAGAAAGGTTACCGAAGGAGCCTGCAGGCGCTCCTCTCTCCCCAGGGGTCTGGTCCAGAGGAAGAGCCAAGTTCTTTCCCAAGATGCTGGGAACTGAGATGAAAATAGAAATGTGCTTGCCTGGTTGCTGCGACAGTGGTCAGTTGTGTAGAAGGCACGTCCTTTGGCCAGGGCTCCCTATGAGGGAGAGCCAGATCAAAGGATGGGAACCCGTGGTCCGGAAGGGCCCCAGCACACGAGATACACACACGCAGCATTAAGTGGGGAGATCCGGAGACAGGCCTGTTTCTTCTTCCCAGCAGAGTCTGACCGGCCAGCCATTCATTTGTGGCTACTGCCTCTTCCTACCAAAGTAGCAATTCTATGCTGGCCTGACGGCTGCACCCCTTTGGCCAGTAGGGGAAGGCCAATGGGACAAGGGTAAAGGCCACCATCCTTACATTTGGTCTTTGCTGGCACAAGATGAGGCGTCTTGGAGCAGACCTCTGTTGACACAACCAACAGGGGCAACATGCTCTTGGCTGAATTCCCTAAGTCACCCCAGAGGCTTGAGAAGCTGTGATGAGCAATATGAATTCCCCCTCCAACATCACACAACCAAATGTGCATGTTTTCTTTCTTTCTTTTTTTAATTTAAATGCATGCCACATTGAAAACTCCCTGAAAACTCCTGAAAGTTCTTTATTGCATTCAGATATATGAGAATTTTTAAGTTTTTTTAATTATTATTACAGTTTATTCACTTTGTATCCCAGCTGTGGTCCCTTCCCTCTTCTCCTCCCAAGCCCTCCCTTCCTCCCTTTTCTCCTCCTATGCTCCTGCGCATCAGTTTTCTAACCCTGCAACAGGGCATCTTTCCATGTTCACTCATTCATGCCCTCTTACCAGTCCTGTGATTTGATCAAGGCCCACTGTCTGAAAATGGCAGAGCCAAAACTCCAGGTGTTTCTACACCTGTACCCTGGTTTCCCTGACACTGGGTGACACGGAGGATAAGCGACCCACTGCCTTTTAACGGTAACATCTAATAGTTGTTAAAAAGCTGATAAGAAACTAAATTAACAGAGGGCACGTAAGTCAGTCATGGGGGAAGATTTGAGCTGAGGGTCAAATCTTCAAGAGACAGGCTTAGGCCATTACAGCCATTCCGCATTTTACTGCCCTTCATGAACATGGTGCTTTACATAGTCTGAAGGTTTGCGCCCACCTGCTGCTGAGCACATCTGGTGGTAATATGCGCTCACTTCAGCGTATTCTCACAGTCTTTATTTCAGCAAAGCCACCAGTGTTGCAAATGTGTACACTGTCATTACATCTGGACTGGTGATCTGGCCTCAACATTTGATGGTACTGCGCTGTGTAACTGTTTTGGGGTGCCCATGACCATGCCTGTGTAAGACAGAGAACCCGCACATCAATAAATAAGTGTTCCTGCTGTTCCACCAACCTCAGCTGATGTCTCTTCGGGCCTCCCTGTCCCCCAAGACAGAACAATATTGAAATTGATAACCACGCAACAGTTCGTAAGCGCTGAACTGAAAGGAAAAGGTACACATCTCTCACTTTCCATCACAAGCTAGAAATGATGAAGAAGGAGAAGGTCTAAGACTATAAAACTGGCTGGAAGCTGGGCTTTTGGCACCAGCTGGCCAAGCAGTGAACCTAAAGGGAAGGCTCATGAGGGAGACTGGAAATACCAACCCAGCGCACACACAAATGACCGCAGGGCAAAAGGGCCAGGTAGCTGAGGCAAGCTTAGTGGTATGGACAAAAAGAAAGAAAAAAAAAAAACAAAACAAAACAAAAAAACCTCAAATTAGCTACAGCATTCCCTTAAGATAGAGCCCAACCCAAAGAAAGACTCTTAACTCTCACTTCCGAGAAGCTCAGAGACTTAGGGGAGTATGCAGACGCTGGTTCACGGGGACTGAAGAAAGCTGCTGCTCCTGTGACATGCAAGAGCAAGGTGAAAGGGCACGTGGAGTAGTTGTGTCAAACTGGCTGGGTGTGGCAGGTCTGGAAAGGAAGCGGAAACAACTTAGTGAGACATCTCAGAACGGAACAGATTAGACTGACAAGTACCAGAGGCCTCTTCACTGTTTACATAGCTAATACTAAATATTTTATTAAAGTAACAGAGAGGCCAATATGTTTTTAAAGGCTGGAGCTGCCATAGATAGTGATTCCTCTGATGGATCTGGATGAAAGAACTTCAGAACCTTCTGGAAATGACCACTCCAGATGTCATCAGGCAGTTGTTGTGGATGTAAACCTGGTTTAGTTTTGCTCCCAGGTGTGGGATGTGGGACTGATTAAGATGGACCACAGCAGCAGACTATTTGCCCCCTGCGGGCTCCGAGAGGAGCTCTTTCCCACATAGTTCCACTCTTGAGGATCTGGAGAGGGAATAAAAGCCAGAGCCCAGAGAATGTTGAGGGTGACTCTGAGAATGGAGGCTGCTGGGTCCACCCCTGCTCCTCCTGGCTGCTGTTGGTGCAGTTGGATGAGAAGTTGGAGATATCCTGAAAACGAAGACTAGACTTGTCCCAAGGAACCAGATGACCCTAACCAGAAGGAAGTAGCCTAAGAAACCCAAATAAAATAGTTTAAAAAGTACACCAACAGGAAGTCACGGTTTGGGGATGTGCCTCAGAGACAGAGTGTGTCCCTAGTATATGCAAGGATTTGGGTTCAATCCCCAGCAGCACCACATACAAAAACATGACTATTTGGAGACGTGTCAGCATTGATTCCAGCTCTCATGGATGATGTTGAAGGGCTCCAGATTTCAGCACTTAACTGTGGTTGTGGCAAAAATAGCAAAAGAACCAGAAAGAGAAGAGGACTTGGGGTGTGACAGGACAGCTGCTCTCTCACACAAAGCCTTAGCATGTCTCTTACACATGGGCACAAAAGCAGTGGTTTCCAGTGGTTTTCTATGCCTGGCAGAGAAACTATGAGCACGGCTGTCATGGGAACAAAATGGAAGTAGCAATCAGCTGAAAAAGCAGCAGGAAGGATTCAGTCTGACTTGTCAGGTTTTACACTGAAATGCCATTGAGCCAGCTGTGGCTTAGAGCTGTGCTTGCCCAGCAGAGCATGGGCTGAATCCCAGACTCCGGAAAAACCCAGCATGCCATGCTAGGGAAATGCTTTGTGAAAGGAAGAGCCAAGGATGCAGCAACTTCACTGCTTTATGAAAGCAACTACCACAGGCACCCCAATACCAGAACCAACGCTTGCCATAGGCATCCCAGCACCAGAACCAACACTGATGTTCCCAGCCACCAACACCAAGAGTTCATTTTCTTCCAGTGACAACTCACCGGATGTGTTTTTAGTAATAAAACATTCTGAAATGATGTCCCGTGCGTTATTAGACACAATTCTATCACACTCCTAACTACAGCATAGTATAAACATAACTTCTGAAGGCATAGAGAAACCAAATTTGTCACGTGACCTCTTTGTGATGTTGCTTTCTTGAGGGGTCTGGAACCGAGCTTAGGATATTTCTAATTTAGAAAGTTTCAGGACATTAACTACTCAACAGATGGTCTAAAACACCACCTGTGGACACGGTTTCCAAGTTATAGCATGCCAGACTCAGAAATAAGCATGTGGCAGAAAAGCTATTATGGAATACACTTCCTTTTCCTTTTCATCAGAAAGGGCACCTTCAGGCTGTCTTCAGGAGCTACACACACTCTTCTGTTTAATCTGAACACAAACTGGGGGACAAATTCCTATAGCTGTATCATCAGGAAAGGATAGCACAAACCACATCAACATGACACTGTCAACCACGGGGTTAGGCTCTACAGGAGCCTGACACCGGGACAGTCAGCACACGGCGATCACGCTGACCACTCCAAACACTGCTCTTGGGTCCTCTGTGAGAATTTTGGCAAACCCAGTGAATGCAAGGACCACAGCAGGCAGGTCAGGGAGTGGGCGACGGCAGAAGGCATGTCAATAACCACCAGTGCTCGCACTGTGCAAAGGGCTGTTATCAACCTCTGGGCCCAAGGTAACTTTTATCCACCACACAGAAAAAGAACACAAAATCCTCTCTTGATATAATCCACTAATTTTGCTAGTTTTTATTAGAGCATTACAATTAAGACATTAAATTATAAATTCAGGTGGTATACTTAGAAATTAAATTACAAAACAATACAAATACTTTTAAGGTGTGATGTGCCAACAAAGTTTAAATGTTATTATTAACCAGGGTTCAGGTTTAGATTCTGCAGAATCTGTGATGGGCATAAAGGCTGAAAGGAACAAGGGAGATGGAAAGATGTCTGCAAATAAAATATTCCACAGGAAAAAAAAATTTAAATAAAAAGATAAGCCTTCGGCGAATTAAATTAATGTTCTAATCTGTTGGCACAATGTACAGAAAATACTTACATGATAATTTCTTAAGCAAACAGCAGCTTTACAAACAGTAATACTTTATACATATATTAAAGTAACAATGTGTTACGATTTAGCAGTTTTGTGTCAAGTCGAAAATGAATGTAAAGATCGCTCTTTATTTGCACATTGTAATTCCCACCTCCCACTTTCCCCAGATTATTAAAAAAAAAAAATCACACAAGTATGTTATTTGGATATTAATTTGTCAATATTTAAATTATTTGAATTCCTTTTGACTAATTCTTTTCCAAACACTGGAAGCATATAAAATACCATCTCTTCAAAAATGATTCCAGTCAAAGCCTGTAAAAACTTTTCAATGTATAACACACGTTATTTTTCCATATTTAGTCAAAAGAAATTATATTACATCATTTACAAAGATTAAAACAAAAAAATTAAGCTATTATGAACACCTGTCTTTAAGGAGTAATCTTCATAACAACAAGCCTACCAAGAGGGAGTCTGACCAGGGGAGTGTAATTTATACTGTAATTCATGTACTGATAGAAACCTAACACTAATTATTGCCAGTTAAACTACATCTACACACTAAAAAAAAATAAAAAAGATCAGTTTTTATTTCTTGTGCCAATAAACTCTTATTCTTGCCATTAGATTTATTTCTAAGACTCCAAAGAGTGAATCATACCTACTTCCAAAAATAAAACTTTCCTATTTCTCATATCTCCTCGAAGGCCTGGAACTCAATATACACAAATATCCCCCAAATTTACCCAAAGGAAACAAACTATAAGACAGCACTGATGCGTACTTAAGGGTACTCCCAGCATGGTAGTGCTTCCTTTGATAATCTGGGCCGTCCTCCAGAAGTGACCGGTTCCCTGCATAAAGCCTGTGGTCCCTTGGACTTGTGGCAGAAAAGCCACTGCCTGCGAGAGGATACTCACTCAGCTTCTGACAACTACAGCAAAACTAAGTTACTGGTGTTTTCAAGATTTCCTCAGCTTCTCTTTTGGTACAAGTGTCAAAATTCTAAAATGATGATTCATGTCCAGAAGAGAATAAAAGACAAGAAACCTCTGAAAAGCCACTACCTCAAGATCAAGGGCTAGCTGAACCACTGACATCAAGCAGGAAATAGTATCATGAAAAGTAGTGAAAGTTTTCAAATCTACTTTCAAGGCTGTCAGTCGTTCAAAACCTCTATCATTTCTTTAAACAAGTTAAGGCTTCCAAATATGCAGACAGTAAGAATCCGCCCGTGTAAATCCACGCTCGCCATGTCAGCTTCATTCCTTACGTCTAAATGAACTATCAGATAATTGGTGCCTAAAATCTACACTGGACAACAGTTCACACTGGATGGCCAACTACTGTCTCTTAGCACACTAATGAAGTTGACAGACTGACATTTTTTATAGAGCAATGCTCCTAAATCTTCACAATTCACAAATACTATAACATCAGCCAAGAATCGTTCTCTCTCTAGCATTAAATGCCAGGAATATCAAACTCGGAACTATGACAGTAGGTCCCAATTTTCTCAGTAAAGACTCTCTAGCTGTCCCTTCTGCCTCTGGGAGGCAAAATCCTGCCCCACATAACCAGGGGGAGGAGAGCAAACCCTTGCTGCCTGCTTCTGGGAGCTTGTGGGTAGGAAAGTTCATGTGTCCATCTGTGTACTGGAAGCTGGGGGTGAAGGAAGGAGAAGATGGAAGACAAGAGATGGGTGTTGTATGACTTTCCCATCCTACAGAAACTTGCTGAGGACACTAGCAGCCAGGTGGTGGCTGGACAGAAACAAACAGCTAAGTTGAGATTCTCCCATGCAAACACACACACACATTCCTAGAGAAAGGCAGAGATAAATAATTGTGAATAAAATTACTTTCTGCATATATTTGTATATGATAAATCATCTGAAGGATCAACACAATCAGAAAACCTCTCTCTTTTCTTCTACAGGTTCTTCCCAGCCTTCCCCAAACACATCACAGACTGCAAAATTCCTTTCCCCAACTTCCTGTAACTGTGGTTCTTCTATGAGGAAGGTGCAGAAATGTACATTTAAAGAAAGATGAAATGACTTACAATGTGGACGAGTTTGAATATGCAAACAGATCCACACCTCAAACCAAGAGGGTCTAAAGCAAACATCAGCAGCAGAGCACAGCGGACAGCCTTGCTTCTGGGTGCCCACGGGAGGCGCTGTGCTGATACAAACTTGCTCACTGTTCACCTGTCAGAGCTTGCCTAACTTTACATACTATGTACAAGAGCATTCCTGAGGTAAGAGGCAAGTGTCAGACGGAACCTGGCAAGTCCTACCATGGTGACTGTTTGCTCTTACTTCTGTCCCTTTCCACAGATAACACCAGCATGGTAATGCTTTGGTGCTCACCTAACTCCTGCAGGCTGTTTTGGTCCATCCTGACCTTCAGGAGTTACGATGACCAGTGACTTCAGAAATAAACATTGTGGACCAAGCAAAATCTGTATCCATTTTTTAATGCACAGCACTGGGCAGCCTTGCTGCCCTCGGCCATTTAGTCCCTGATGCTACCTACCTCCAGCTCTTTTCAAAAGCAGCTTCCATAACTCCGACAGATTACCCTGAAGGAGATGGATCTGCAAACAAACACTGGTCCTTAGAACCTTGATCTTTAGTTTGTAAAATACCCTTAAATAGCCATTAGTTGTTTTGTTTTCCTTAGAATTTGGTCTTCTTTCTTTAGTCTTTTTTTTTTTTTTAATCACAAAGTAAGTTGGAACAAAGTCTGAATTTCCTACACAATTCTTAGAAACAGACTTGGACACTAGTTAAAAGCAAAGCTAGAGATAGATCATAACAAAATAGATAAGAGTTACAAAAAGTCTGTTGGGAATTAAAAACACAGTGAGTAACTGGACAGTGGAAGATGTTGAGCTGGAGCTTCAGGTAAATGGCTGCAGCTGGAGACAGCTGCCACTTCCTGAGTTATTACTTTGGGGAGAACTGGAATCAGTGTTCTTTGCTCACAGAGCTGCTGGGCTCAGGCTGCTGCTCAAGAGTCCAGGCCTCACCATCTCCCCCTGACTCCAGCCCCTCGGGCGCATCTGCTGCCTCATCTCCACTTTGCTCTGCACTATCCTCCTCGCAGCCAGGAAGGGCCTCGCCGAGCTGCAGGGTCTCCATAGTCCTCTGGGTCTCAGAGACCCAGGACTCGATTCTACTATTGAGCTGCACTTCTTCTGATGTGGGTTCATGAGTATAATCCTCCTCCTCCTCCTCTTCATCATCCTCTTCTTCAAGCATGCCAGGTACAAGAGTGCTGGTTGTGCTGGTGATAGAGGAATTCAAAAGATCTCGGCAGCTGCCGTCCAAGGAGCCGGTCTCTGTGCTCTGCTGAGAGGCCCACTCCAGGTCGTCTGGCTTCAGTTCATCCTTGTCACCTGTAATTTTCCCCTGGCTTGGGGCTGAGGGAGAGCTCCCTGCAGCCGCTGCTGGCTGCTTACCCACCAGGGTGGTGTCAAGGGGCTTCTCAGAAGGGCCATACTTACAGGGAACCATTTTCTCATTTTCTGATGTTTCCAAGCCATCTGACGTCTCCACCATGCTTCTCCAATTAGTTTCTGCAAGCAGGAAGCACATTTTTGAGAACCGGAAACACTACCCCAGAGTCATGGAACTTATTTCAAACAACAAAATAAGGGGCAGGAACAGAAAATAGAAATTTGTCGGCTCAGTAACTTAAACATTTAATTTGTTTTACAATGAGTTTAAATGTAATAAAGGGAGAGTAATATTCAAAACAATGTGTATTCAAATGAAGAATTAAGAGATGAAATGCACCAGTGTCAGAAAGTGGAGGCCAAATGCCGACAGAGCCACTGACGCACATGTGTCACATATGACAATCAATGCACAGTCTCTTGTGTTTGTATCCCTACAGCTATGCTGACTTCAAGGATCCCCAGTTCACAGTCAAGTCAAGATGCCCAGCATGAACAGTTCTCATGTGAAAGGTACAGAAAAGCACATCACCTAGGCTTTGGGTCCCATGTTTCATTTATACACAACCAATCTAACCATGCATTTCTAGTATCTGGGACAATCTGATTTACACTACATGTAACTTGGTTTACACGGCATGTGTTACATAATGTAGTACTGACAAAATCAAGCTTAAGGACTAAGACTGCAGGATGAGTGCGGCTCTCTCACTCTTCTGAGTTTATTTTTAAATAAAGAGATCCAACTATTTTACAGCAATCTGCATTTTACAGATTATCATGTAGTGAGAAGAGAAAGCTACGCACACAATATATTTAACCTGATTATTATCCCCACAGACTATACACACTGATGCAGATCGCATTTGGGGCACTTTAGTCAGGACAGTTTACACAGAAAGAGAAAAGAAACAAGAAGCCTGTCCTCCCTCCCGCTCCTTCAGCAGAGGACAGGTGAGTCCCACCCTCACTCACACCTCACAGACACAGTCTACACCTCCTATGTGCCCAGTGACACAACCATTCGGTGTCAAAGCACGAGAAACTAGCTGCTAACCCTTGTCCTGTCTTTCTTCTTTACTCTGTACCTACCAACCATGGAACGCGCGACCTTCTGTCACTTCTACCTCGAAAACTCCATCTGGTCACTGCTGTCTTAACGCAGGTCTCAATCTTTCTGTCCTGTGTGTTCTTCTGTATGTTCCTAGTTTATTTTGCAAGCCGGCTTTACCTCTGTCCAACTAGCTTTTGGTGACCCTAAGAGTTAAACTCTATAGACAGCACCTCTAAGGTTTCCAGGACCTGATTCTTACCCATCTGTCTTTCTGGTCCTCTGCATCCTGCCTCTGACCATGCAGGCCCCCCACACGGTCCATGCAGTCACAGGATAAGCTGTGCCTCAGCATATGCTGCTCAGTGCAAGCTGTAAACTTAGGCGCCGACTTGTCCCTGATGCCCACTCCTCGGAGCACTCCTTCCTCATCTTCCTACCTGTCCACTGATCTGTCCCACAGCACTTTTACATAACCGTTAAGAAATACTTATGTGTCTGCTATTTCACCGTCACCCCTCCTCACTCCCACCCTATCTGTGTTCCTGTAGCTGCCACAAAGTCAATATCATTTTACAAACAGCAACGAAAGGCTGGCAGGATAACTCGGCAGGTAGAGGTATTTTCAACACAAGCCTGGTAACCTGAGTTCCATCCCTGAAGAAGTAACTCCACAAAGCTGTCCTCTAACCACCACAGAAGACACTGTGGCACCGGTGTGCCATGCCCTATCATGAACATGTCCACAAGATAAATACAATCCTAAAATAAATTATTATCACATATACATTTAATTATGAAAACTAGAGCCTTAGAGCCCATTTACATACTTTCCCCCATTGGCTTTTCTTTCCCTAAAGAGAGGTTCGGCATTTAAATGCTTCTTAGGTGGAGTGTGAAAAGCTGAGGCTGCCTTCCACCTCTGAATGCCTTATGTGGAGTGTGCACACTCTGAGGACTCTTGGGGCTATTTTCCTCCTGCGCCCACATGGAGAGCAAGCATCACTCTACTGTTTCTCCAAACGCAGAGCCCTGCGGACTTACGCTGCCGTGCGCTTTTAACACTGGCATTTCCCCCTCCACAGACTCGGTCTGTTCCATGCTTAGCCCCTTGTCTTCGTGTGGAACTAGTTACCCAGCACCAGCACGCCTACCTCTAGGTAGTAACACCTATGAGCAGCAGCTTCTTAAAGGCAGACAACACTTCAGCGCCACTGAAAGCATCCCCGAACACTTAGCTACACCAGAGATGAGGAGACTTACAGTTTAAATTCAGGTGGCAACTACCCATTTGATAAACTCACAAGTAACATTTAAATGAGATGAAATGAAAAAAAGAAGCAAAAATACAGTGACTCTACGTGATGAGTGACAGTGATTCTCAACTTGACACAGGAATCACAGTACATATCTGCGATCAGAGTAATGTAAGTGGAGGACCCCGCCCTAACTGTGGGCGGCACTATTCCTAGGCTGGGGTCCTAGACTAAACAAGGAGGGATCCAACTGACCCCTGCACTCACGATCTGCTTCCTCACTGGGTGACCAGCCACCAATGCCCCTGCTGTCCCCTCCATGACAGACCTAACCCCCTTGCCCTATAAGCAAAGTTAAGCCCTTCCTCAAGTTAATAGTTAATTCTTGTTATTTTATTAGTGCAAGGAGAAAAGTCACTAAAAAAGATAGGAGAATACCAAGTCATTCAAAAAGTGAGTTCGAGTTCAAACCACTAGAGAATCAAGGCAGGGAAAGGCAGTGCGGGCGACGGCAAATGACGCTGCGCACTAACGCAAGCACTTCTGTAGTCTGCACGTATCTTTACTACAATTACGTAGGAACTCAGAGCAAGTATCAGCCGTCTAGGTTTCGTAAGCTCAGACTGAGTAGTACAACAAAGTTAAGTGGCTTACTAAACCTAAAGTTTTAATTAGCAAGTAAATTATTAGAATAAAACTTCCTATTATTTATTCCATAGGGTCATTAAGTATTCTGCTCTTAAGAGCCTGTTCGGCTTTTTCTTAAGATCCTTAGAACTATGAGGTGATCTGAGTAAGAATGGCTCCATTTGACAAGGATTAGATTAAATGCGGCCTTCTTGGAGGAAGTGTGTCACTGGAGGTGGGCTTTGACGTTTCAGAAGTGCACATCAAGCCCACATCTGTCCTCTGTCTCTCGGTCTTTTTCTTTTTCTCCCTCTGCCTATGGATTAGGATGTAGCTCTCAGCTACTGCTCCAGCACCTACAGGCATGTGGCCATGCTCCCCGCCATGATGATAATGGACTAACCTCTGAAACTGTAAGCAAGCCCCCAATTAAGTGCTTTCTTTTATAAGAGTTGCCTTGGTCATGGTGTCTCTTCACAGCATTGGAGTATGTGACTAAAACAAAATGTGATTAAATTCCAGGGTCTTAAAGAATGGTCTCAGTTCCAAATATTCTTTCTTTCTTTTTCTTTTTTGAGACAGGCTCTATGTAGCCCTTGTTGTTCTGGAACTTTCTACATAAACCAGGCTGGCCCTGGAACTCATAGAGACCTACTATCTCTGTCTCCCCAGTCCTGGGATTAAAGGCATGCACTACCACACCCAGCCAAATATTCTATTTTTCAATAATAATGTTTAAATGAATTTTTTAAGCTAAAAGGAGTCCCGGTCTTGCTTCCCAGCATCACATAAATAGCACACAGCAGTAATCTCAGTGCTTGGAGGATAAATACTGGGGGATCTAAAGATCATCCTATCCACACAATAAATTGAGAGTCAGACTTAGAAAAAAAAAAAAAAGTATTAAAACAAACAACAAGCAGATTTGAAGGTTACTTACAAAATGGCTTTAACCACTATTTCATTTAAATTATCTAAATTATTTCATTTAAAATGGTATGGGACAACTTACCATATTCCTTTTCATTTACTTCAGAAATGGGTTCAGAGATCACACTGCAGAAAGAAATGGCACTTGCTGCAGAGGGGTTCCGAGAGTGGCCCATGTGGTGAGGCCCGGTCTTCACACTCTTCAGTGCTTCCTCCGCCTGCTCCTGCTCTGTCGCTGCAACCATGTCTTTATATGCCTTCCTGGCTTCCTCAGTGAGCTCCACTAATCGATTAAACAGGCTCTAGAAAGACAGATTCCTCCGTGAATACTCGATTTGTTGTTTTTAAACTATTAAGCTTCTTATATTTTTAGTCTGGATAAAATTTGGGCATTCTGTAAATCATAGAACCTTACAAAATACACTGAACACATATGCAGCTTATTAATTCTCACAGGGTTGAGACAATTGATTCTAACATTATTTGTGCTATATTTAAAAGGTTCAACAAATGTGCTCCCATTAGTCTGGCTCTACAGAGCGTTAAGAAGGGAGCATCAACTCTTCTACATATGACTACAAGGAAGAGACAGGAGCAGCTACACTACAGTAGCATAAACGCCTACAGAGGTTTTGGCTTTTTGTTTCTTTGCATGTTATTTCAAAAACAAAACAAAACAAACAACATCAACAAATTAACAACACTAGCTTTTAAAGGAGACCTTAAAATCTGACTGTGGGCATCACTGAGGGACTCAAGAGACTAACATCTGATGCAGAACTTAAAAAACAGGTACAGCTCTGAGAAGGAAGGACAGGGCAGTGTTGAATCGGTAGGCATATGAAATCATAAATTAAAGGAGACACAAGAGAAGCACCAGGCTAGCTGGGGGGCAGCAACAGTCTTACTTGGGTTAGAACATGGGGGAATGAGCATGGGCAGGGAGGAAGGCAGGGGTGTAGAAGATGGCAGTTTCCAAAGGAATTAAAAGTCCTCTAGCCAGGTGTAGGGCATTCTCATGTTTAATAAAAGTGGCAATCCTTAAACATCACTAAAGCTGCATTTCAATAGCTGTATCTCATGACATCCTCAGATACCAAAAAAGACAACCCATATGACAAAGCCTAATGGTTCCCAGATCATCATTCCAACAACTTAACTCCTGGTAAGTGGTTTTTGTTGTTGGTTTCTTTCCAGACAGGGTTTCACTACTATGCAGTTCCAGTTGTCCTGGAACTCACCATGTCGACCTGGCTGGAACTCACAGAGATCTACCTGCTTCTGACTCCCATTAGAGATGTGTACCACTATGGCCAGCATTCCTGGTAAGTATTTTCACATCTTGGTGTCACACTGCTGCTTAGAGGATCAGGAACAATGAAAGATGCTGCTGACTGTGCTGACTGCTGAGGCAGGCAAATGCTGTAGCTAGCTATCAAACACATACTCATGATTTGTTTTATAGAGAAAGAAGAATGGTGAAGAGCAGCCCTTCAAGGACCACCAATAATACAAACTTTATTTGTAGTGTGTAACAAATCGTGCATTTAAATAAAAACAGGAAAAAGCAGACAAGCATGCAGACTTATTATTTTGAGAATATTAGCATGGGTATTATAAGCAGGACAGACAGTTAAAAACTAAAGGACATAAGGGAAGAAATGAAACTATTGAGGAGAGCAGCTCTGGTCCACGCCTTTGAGTCATTAACTCACTCCTGGCATGTGTTAACAGAAGAGAGCAAGACATTACGCCTCCTAAGGTGTGTGTGTGTGTGTGTGTGTGTGTGTGTGTGTGTGTGTGTGTGCGCGCGCGCGCGCGCTACAGGTCAATGGCAGGTGCTGTTCCTCAGAGGCCAGTTAGCTTGCTTATTAGACAGGATCTCTCATTGGTCTGCAGAAACCTACTTGTCTCTGGCTCCCCAGTGCTGAGAGTACAGGTGTAAGCACCCTGCCTGGCTTGAAGCAGGTTCTGGGGATCAGACTGAAGGGCCTTTACTGACTCAGCCACATCTGCAGCCCTGTCTTGTAAGTTCTTACCTCAGCACCAAAATAGTTGAAGATTCCCACAACACTAACAGGAACCAGTTTGTTCACGCAGCGCCCCAGAGCTTTCCTTCCGAGGGCAAACACAAAAGGAATCTCCTGTTCCCGGGCCATGGCTATGACATTGTAGAGGGCCTCATCTAGGCCACCTAAGGAAATCAACACATGGAGAAGCCTCCGTTCAGTCACCCACATGGTGGAGCTAACCTAGCTAAAAGACAGAATACCACAGCAAAGGAATGTCTTACTTGAACTGTAACACACACCACTTAGGCATTTGTCTTTCCCCACAACTAAATCCCGAAAGCCTTCAAACCCAGTACTTTAGTTTCTCGGTAGGGATTAGCATAGCAGGAATCAGTTTCAATGTAACAAACATTCATTATGAAGAAATTAGTTAATTAGCTAAGCTAGTTAAAATTGGTTTGTTTTATTTTATTTTGTTTTTTTCAAGACAGGGTTTCTCTGTGTAGCCTTGGCTGTGCTAGACTTGCTTTGTAGACCAGGCTGGCCTCGAACTCACAGAGATCCACCTGCTTCTGCCTCCCAGAGTGTTGGTCTTACAGGCAAGCGCCGCAGTAGCTAGTTCTTTCTGTTTCACAGCCTCTAAGCTCCAGTACCAACTGGCCACAGTTAGGGCGACAGATGAGCGCAGTGGCTCACAGGTGTTTTCTCTCTGCAAGTGTCTACAGTGCTGCCTAGCTCTGTCTGCTCCACCAACATTGCTACACACTATTCGAGGTGCTAGCTTACCCAAGAGCCTTGCTATGTGGGCTAGCAAGGTTTATGTCAACTTGATACAAGCTAAAGGAAGAGGAAACCTCAATTAAGAAAATGCCTCCACCACACTGGCCTATGGGCAAGCATATGGCATTAATTTGTTAATTAGTGATTAATGTGGGAGCCAGCTCATTGCGGCTGAGGACACTCCTGGGCTGGTGGACAAGGCATGGAGCAAACCATTAGGCAGCACTCCTCCATGGCCTCTGCATCCACTCCTGCCTCCAGCCTACTGCCTTGAGTTCTTGTCCTGCACGATGAACTATAAGACGTAAGGTGAAATAACCCTTTCTTCCCCAAGTTGTTTTAGCCATGGTGCTTTATCACAGCAATAAAAACCCTAAGATTCACAGGCGCACGCCTGTGATCCCAGCACTCTAGGAGGCAGAGGCAGGTGAATTGTTATGAGTTCTAGGCTAGCTTGGTCTACAAAAGAGTCCAGGACAGCCGGGCTACACAGGGAAACTGTCTCAACAAAACAAAACAAAACAAAACCCAAAAACCCTAAGATACTAAGTAACCACTGGTTTCTAGGAGACAGATTTCCTCTCTAAGCAGAGCTGAGATCTTTTACCTTTTTTCTAATTGTTTTTAAAGAGGAAAAAGTCATTAAAGGAAGGGTATGTAAAGTTTTGAGAGCAGAATATACTGATGCAAAGTAATGCTCCCTGGCTAGTTCTAGTCTGATCACAGTACGAAACCACCTGGCGGGGCCAAAGGAGATGCTCAACCAGTTCCTTCAGAATCTAGTCTACTAACTGGAGAATTTCATTTCTCATGCTCAATATTTGTTTCATAACTATACTGTAGAGAAAGATACGGCTTCCAGCTGCAAGGATCAAATTCCCTGCAATGGTAAACATTTCCAAAGCAGGCATACACACCCTTTGACTGAATCTTCTCACAGTTTGGGGAGATGATGACACCCTTGATCTTGTTCAGCTTCATGTGCTTGGTGACCTCCCTCAGCCCCATGACCAGCCGCCGTCTGGCTTTAGCTCTCACAGGGTCCTTTTGGTAGATGCGCTCCTGGAAACTGACCAGCTCTTGCAGGAGGAGGGTCACACATTCGTCAATTTCTTTAGAAAGAACCTGGTTACAGTATCTGTAAAAGAAGCAAAGAACTAGGTGACTCCATCCTAATTCACTGTCCTGTAATTACAGACTTGGTATTAGGAAAGTATCTCTGAGCGCGAACAAGGCATTTTTATCAAAAGTCACCAGTGCCTCCAATTTCTCAACATGTCAATCAGAAAAACAGCAATGCTGACTATTCTTTGCTTGTGAACTTCAATGACGTAGCTTTTAATCCAGGACAAGCTTCATCGGGAAGTACTTCTGAACTTCTAATGTTTTACTATCTAGCAATAGAAACCTACTGCTGGCTTGCTAAGAGATTACAGTTTTTTGGTTTTTTTTAAATGTTACTGTGATAAATGCTTCTAGTAGGAAAGAACTGCAACTCTCTGAATTTCTTAATAACGATTCATCGCTGAGTGGGGAGGAATGTGTCCTGGCCTGCTGTTGATGTGAACTGGCACAGCCACCATGGACATCAGAACTGTCTTGGGTATAAGCCTGAGGTCAATAAAACTCCAAGTTAACAGACCAAAGAGATCAATGTGTACCCGTGTTCACTGCTATACTATCCACAACAGTTAAGAAATGGAACCAGCTGAGATGCTCTCCAGCATGAATGGCTAAATAAAACTGATGAGAATTTATTAATATATACTGGGATTTTATTCAGCTGCCAAGAAAAAAATAAAATCAAGACATTAGCAAGAAAGCAGATGGAACCAGTGACCGTTATGTTAATGAAGTAACACAGCCTCTGGCAAACACCACATGCTTTCTCTCCTGTAGAATTTGGATTTAAGTTTGTATGTGTGTGCATGGACACACATGAGTAAGTCATGCAAGTAAAAATACAAGAGGGCAGAAGAGACCTTAAGAGACACGAGGAAAACAAAAGGTAATGAAATGTTTTTGTTTTTAAGGCAGGGTCTCACTATGCAGCCCTGGCCCCCTGAGTGCTGGGATCAAAGGAAAGGACATGGAATGGAAGGGACACGAGAAAAGGACAATTTGAGAAAAGAAGTAAAGCAGCCTAAGATGGACAGCGGGGACAGGCAAGGCAGTTGGAAAAGGGTGTGAGTGAGCAAAAGCGTAATGACACATATGTTGAAAATGACGTAATGAAACCCATTCCTTTATGTGCTAAATTAAAGAAAACAATCAAGGCTGTGTCAGTGCTTCTTGCTGCACAACCTGCTGATTCAATTCTTACAGTGTATCCAATAAACCTGTTTCCTTCAGCTAAAAAAAAAAAAAAAGTTATGAAACATGCCAAGAAAACTAAAAACACTTATTCCTTTGAGCCTGAATAAGTCTCAGCCACAAAAATATTTCCAACCACAAAAATAAGTTTGGTTAGATGCTCTGAAAACCCATGGCTATGGATGATGAACTCAATAGGTAAACTGAAGTCTTCAGGCAAAAGTCACAGGCTTTTCCACCAAACAAAGCAGCTGAGTGAGAAGTGGGAACATGTCGGCTGGAAAACAAAGGAAGTATGCCGTCACTGTGTATCTACTTAACTGCAGGCCAAGGTGGTCACAAACTTACTTGTGGACCATCCACCGTCCTAAGTCCCACCTCACTCCACCAGGCAGGCAGTCCACATCATCCAGAGAAAAACATGGGCCTCAGAATATGTCCAGGGAATTTCATGTTGTACACGAAAATGTTCAAGCAAGTATGACACAATTTCAGGAGATAGAAATGGGTGGATTGAGGAAAGATTAAATGTTATAAACACCCAAAATTAAGGAAGTCAATATCAAACTACATTTTCCTTCCTTCCTGTTTCAAGCTGTTCGTTTCATACATATGTAATTTATTTTCCATGTGTCTCATTTGCACCACATCTGCTGCCTGACATATAATTAGCTTCTCGGAGCCTGGAGAGAGGCTTTTGCTCAAACGCTAGCACTGAGGAGAAGCAGAACAGAGCAGTGGCTGTGGCCCCACAAGGGCTCACACCACAATTCCTTCATAAGCCATTTTCAAAGGTAAAACCACTTTCTCCACCCAAATACTAAAGTAGCTGCTTTGTGATTCTCTAATTATTCTAATTCTTAAACCTAGACATATTTGCTTCAAAGCAAGTGCTTGGGTTAACTGTGTGGCTCAGTGCTCAAACACTTGACTAGGAAGCAGGAGGCCCTGAATTCAATCTTGAGTACTGCAAAAATGAACAACAAATGAGAACAAAATGGTGTGGCTTTATGTGACAGATTCAGGGTCTTACACAAAGAGCCCCATTACAAGTTATTTACTGGTTTGCAAGCTTTTAAAAAATACCTATATTATATGCCAAAAAAAAAATTTGGAGGAGCAAAAAACCCACAAAACATTACATTCTATATGCACATATATGTAACATACATATACATACATGATACATAATATACATATGTAAAAGACCAGAATCCTGGGGTAGAAGCTCCATTTATTGTGAAGAAAACATACTACTGTGAAATCTCATTCCATGGATACTGACAGAAGGAACTGCTGTAAATAGGCCTAACCCAGCTGTTGAACAGGAGGAGGAAGAGCGGCACAACCTCCCTGCTTCACCTTGCTGGGCTTACGAGGTAACAAGGGTAAATTCAGAACTGAGATCCTTCAGCTGTTTGACCTCAATAACGAGAAAAAAAAAACTTACTCTCGAAATCTTTTGCTGTGGATTTTGGTTATTGTTGACGATGCCATTGGACTGCCTATGCCGGAACTAGCAGGCGAGCCTTGCGACACGGGTGTCATACAGTATGGAGAGTTCTGACTCGCTGGAGACAGTGAAGCATCACTGGGCATGCTCAGTCCAGTATCTGGAAATGTGAGGTGAAAGGGAAGAACCTGGAAATTTCAAACGCTAAGAAGATCCAGAGGGACGCAGACATTTTAGATGGTAGAATTTCTTAGGCCACACCCTAATCCTGCGGATGCTAGTAAATTAGGCATTTTTCTATCACAAATTATTATTTCTTATTAAAAAAAACGGAAGCATTCCTACCACTATCTATTACAGCATACCTAGAAAAAAAATCAAGCACAGTTTTCACAGAGGAGATGGGGAAGGGAAATTATCTAGGACAGGTATGCCCAGGAATTTGTACCTTTCTGCACAGCATTATTACACATCTGTACTTAGCCATCTATTTTTTAAATCATTCTTTCTAATTTTACCTGGTAATGACAACCCTAGGTTACCCGTTCTCTACTGACTCTCCTTATCTCATACCTGCTCACCCTCCCTTGAATCTCCTTATCTTACACCTTACCCACCCACCCCCGACTCTCCAGGACCCCCACCTGCTCACCCTCCCTAACTCTCTACCAACAGCTGCTCACCCACCTGGCTTTCCTTGACCCCACCTACTTATCTGGCCTTTACATCTATACTCAGGCAGCCATATGTGTAGATGCAAAACAATCAACTCCACTTCTTCTTCCTAAGTTACTGCTTGTCTTCAACAGGTAAACTCAGTAAGTATGTATATTCAGAGTTACACATTTATCCTGTTTATCGGATTATCAGCTCATCACATTAGCCTTCCATCATTTTTTTCCAGCCTCTTCTACTACTTACTGAACACATTTTGTAGCTATCCAATCAACATCAGAGGGATGGATGGATAGATGGACACGCATAAATCTCATACTGAGAATAAAAGGGAACCCCAGCCAAGCATGCCCTAGATAACTAATACTTGGGAATAAATAAACTTTCCTAAAAGCACTGAAAGACTCCTGCTTGGTAACTGTGCAAACTAGATTTACCTTGCTGCAAAATGCCGTGTGGCTATTTGTTGTACCAGATGAAACCTCTCTGCTGGAATCACACATGCTGGGTATGAATAGAATCTTTGTTCTGCTTTGCAATTCTCTATTCCTTATGCCTTATGTATTAATTCCTCCCAAAGCAAGAAAGAAAATCAATAAAAATGATTTGAAAATAGTCCTGTGGAAAAAACAACTAATAAATAGTACTCCCTATATAAAAGATCCTGAGCCAGAGCTCTGATGACCATCCAGGGCCCCAGGCACCAGGAAGATCCTAGTGTTTTAGATGTCACGACGATTGACAGAGCTGAGGTTCCAAAGTATCAGCGACCTGCTCTGTAACACCTGCCCACCCTCCCAGCCATCTGCCTTCAAAAGAAGCCACATACATCAACATAGACGAGATACAGTGCGCAACTTCCACTTGAGGCACAACCAGTGAGGCCTTCCTCTCAGTGGCAACACCACACACGGCCAGGACAGAGGGAGGAATCCTCACCTTCCTGGGAGACAGACTCCTGAGGTAAGTCATTGGCGAGGTCCAAATGCATCTCTGTCGGCTCCTCAGCTCCCAAAACACTGTGTTCCACAGTCAAACGTCCCTTCTTCTCCTCTCTTTCTTTCAAAATAACCTGAAAGCCATTATACCAGTCTTTATTACTTTATATACTACTCACTCTTGCAATAGTTTCAACAAACCATTACAGTGTTATACTAAAACACAGGCACAGCCATGATGATTTCAGTTGGCTGTTTTACCTGGTTACACAGAAGCTGACCTATAAAAAGGTGACTATTTTATTTTGGAAACTGTAGCTTGAAGGAAATACTGTACAGAGAATACACAGAGACTCTGCTAAAAGTCACAACCTGACTCACTTCATCTGCCTCCACCTTCAAATAAAGGGAAGCAGGATGCCCAGAGCACACAGGCAAACACTACACATCTTTAAATCTTAGGAGAACAAGTAAGATTTCCAAAACAGTGACTAACCTTAAGTGTGGAAATGACTCATTCAAATCATGTGATTTACACTCTACAGTTTTCAATTATTCAGGCATGGATTACCTCATTCTGACCCTCTAACACTAAACCAAAGCAGATACCATCATTAATTTATAGGTACAGAATATGAAGGTAAAATGTGGGCCTATACGTGTTTGTAATAGAAGTTTGGGTTTCTTTTAAAAACCCAGTTATGTTATGTAAATATGTTTTTGTTTTAATCCCAAGTGTGGGATTTTAGTTTGGGCTTTAGTTTGTCCATAGCTGATAACTGCCTTCTGCAGAGCATGGTCTCTGCCAGCTGGTAATGGCCTGCCTCATGCAGCATGGTGAGGGACCTGGTCCAGGACTCTGAGGATATAAATATCCAGAAAGAGAAAGTGTGACAATTTGGAGAGACCAGAGATGGACAGACGGTGTGGCGGCTTAGAGGAGACTGCTTGCAGCATTTGCTGTTGATGGAGACTGGTATAACCCCAAAAAGAACCCATTGACCCTAAACAGCCAAGAGAAGTAAAGGGGTCTGCAGCCCCTCTCCCTACTAACCTTCTCTCTCTTACCCAGGGTTAAAGGGCTGAAGGAAGGGAAGTAGAGTCTTAAACACCCTAAAGAAAACAGAGTTTAAAAACGAGTGTAACAGTGTTCTACTCCACACACAGCAAACAATGGAGTTACTAAGTTCCAGGACTAGCTAGCTAGGAGGCAGAGTGTCTGTCTCATATGTACGAGGCCTTCAGCCAGATCTCCAACACTGAAAAGAGAAGGAGAGAAAGAGGTGAGAGGGTAAGGGAACAGAAGGGAAGACTGGCCAGGCGAGGGGGAAGAAAGAAAAGATTGGCCAGGGAAGGAAGGAAGGAAGGAAGGAAGGAAGGAAGGAGGGAGGGAGGGAGGGAGGGAGGGAGAGAGAGAGAAAGAAAGAAAGAAAGAAAGAAAGAAAGAAAGAAAGAAAGAAAGAAAGAAAGAAATGAATGAAGAGGCACAGCTGTGAGGGTGGCTCAGTGGTTAAAATACTTCCTATACAAGCAGAATAGCTGGAGCCTGGATCTCTAGAACACACAAAAATGCCAGGTGGGTGTGTTCATACTCTGTGTTCATACCCATGAACGCAGGACCCAGAGGGCTGAGATGTGATTCCTGAAGCAAGCTGGCTAGCCAAACCAACCATATTAGTGAGCTCTGGGTTCAACTGAGAGACCCTTCCTTCCTCACAGAATAGGGTCAAGATCAACTGAGAAAACTCCGGACAGGAACCTTAGGCTCCTACATGCAGGCTCCCACGCAAGTATGTCCACGGATGCCCACACATATACAGAAGAGAAAAAATGCAAAGGAAGGAAAGAGCTGGGCTTCTGACTCCTAAGGAGGGTTTAATGCTTTTGGATATAAATTGTTCAGCTCTTTATTTTTCAAACATAACAGAAAAATTCACTTTGCAGGGCCTTCTTACATACAAGAAGGCTGCCATACAGTATGCTGGTTCTGAATTAACCAGTCACATATAGCCACATGTGTAAATACATATCAACATCTGCTTTCTAAAACAGAAGTAATTTTGCAAAGAAAGAAAAAAGTAAACCCTTAATTATCCTATAAAAGAAACATCTCCAGATTTGGTGTTACCTTTTTAAGCGCTGTGGGTCGTTTTAGCTTTGCAATTTCCTTCTCTTTTCCTTTTTTTGCTTTAGAGGAGGAAGTAATGTCCAGAGAATTAAAGGAGGTCAAACATGGTTGACTTTTGGTTAAAGGCTTTCTGTTAGCAGAGTCTTTACTGTGAAAAGCAGCTTCAGTGACGACTAAAACAAATCAAGAACATTAGCTTTACTACTGCAGCAAAATCCCCACACTTTGACAATTTCCAACACTAAATCTTCAAAAAACACAAGCATTCTCTTCCTGTGGAAAAAGACAACAGGACAGCATAGTACAGGCTCAGCGGCGGCCTTCAGACACAGCTTCCTTCCAAGTCCTTCACCTCCCAAGGATGAGGAAGGTAAGCCAATGCACTTAGCCAGCTGAGAGGTCTGAAGTAAGCTGGACTGTTAGTTCAACTCCACCACAGCGACCGGAGCATGCACATTTCTTGCAACTAGCCTGCAGTCAGAGAGGCCCACCTCTGTGTTCTCCACACGCCTCCAGAGGCAGCCACTCACCCTTCCTCACATAATGCTGCAGCCTATGGCTCCTGCCCTCCCTTCAGTTCAGGAAGGAGTGCTGACTCTCTCACCCATGCTCGGTGCTACCCAGCAACTGTTACACACTCACCTTTTACCCCTGACTCTTCAACATTTATAAGCCTCCAATCTCCATCCCTCCACTCTAGCAGAATGTTCATCATTTCCTTGAGAAGACACTGCCCAAGTTAGAAAAAAACATCCACAAAGGGAGACAGATATCCTTACTCCTCCTGTCCACGGCCCACTAACCACCTCAGCTCTTAATGCCACCTCAGTTCCTCTGGGACCTTGTTCTGTCCCTTTTTTTTTTTTTCACGTGTCTCCCCTACCCCAGTCTCTTTTCTCCGAGCCTCCACTCTCCACTACTCTCCTATTTAAAAGAGAAGAGGGGTTGGGAGGCAAACCCATGAAGCCTGGTCCCTTAAAGCTTGCCTTCAGCCCAAGATGCTCCTACTGCTCCCTCCCTCCCAGGAAAACTTCTCAGCATCATTCTGACACCATCTAGCCTCAGCCCTACCCACTCTCTTGTAAATATACTGTCAAGACCCAACAAAACCATGCAGTTGCCAAACACAATTTCCCAATCTTGAAAAATTCTTCCCAGGCCTCTTCTGACTTCACTCACTCACTCACTCACTCTCTCATTCATTCATTCATTCATTCATTCATTCACTCTTTCATTCCTTCATTCAGGCGTATCTGTCTGGCTCTTCTTCTGTCCCTGACACTTGGTCCCTCCATTTTAAATGCATTGACCTCTAACCTCAACTACCTGTGCAGAAACACATGACAAATAGAGTCACCCGGGGGACTCCGCTGTTAGCATTTCAAGTTCAAGTCCACTGTCAACTCTCCTTATGGCACTGCAGTGTCCGCATAACACTCTTCACTAGGCCAAAGAGCCTAGCACAGCATGTATGAGGACACAGCAGCACGTGTCATCCCAATCACTCTCAATCCTAGTTTTTAAGCACACCCTCTCATGAAACCTGTAGCTCACCAGCTCAGCTACAGTAGCTGGATAATGAGCTGACGGGATCTGATGGGATCTGCCTCTCTGGCACTGGGATTGAGGGTACGCACCATTATTCATGCCTGGCTTTTACATGGTCCTAGAGATCCAAACTCAGGTCCTCACGTTCACCTGGCAAGCACTTTACTGATGGAGCCATCTCTCCAACATCTTGAAATAGTCTTTGACTTATTTCCACAGCCTTCCATTCCACACTCCATCAATTCCTCGAAAATTTTCACTCCTACAATTGTATTCTTTTTTGAGCTTTCTTTATATTAAAAATTTGTAAATAAAGATTGGTAATAGAAGGGAATCTCATGTCTGTCTGCCAGGAATCGTACTCATTCCTCGAAGTCCATCAAACATTGCCTTCCATGAGGTCACCTGTAGCCTTTCTCTTCATCTACTGCCATACACCACTCTCTACTTCAAGTTCACAGAACTCGTTATAGCTCTAAGACACCACTGTTGATCAGTTATTTATATGTCTTCTCTAAGACTACAAACCTTTTTTAGATTTATTTTATTGTAAATGAATATTTTGTATGGATGGATGGACCAATGGATGGACAGACGGACAGAGTGTACTACGTGGATGTTTGGTTTCTATATCAGAAGGGCACCAGATCCTCTGGAACCACAATTATGAATGGTTGTGAGCTGCCTACAGTACAGAGAACTAAACCCAGCTCCTCCGCAAGAGCAAACTCCTACTGCTGAGCCACCTCACAGCTAAGCCAGTTCTGAGTCTCAGGAGTGTGTCTTCATCATCTCCATAATCCCAACAGCACATTCTACACACTGATATTCAGATTTGTTTAGCATTACATGTATTAAATCAATCAAAGTTGTAGAACTGGGAATATAGCTCAGTGGTAGGGTGCGTCCTCCTATGCAGAAGACCTTAAGTTCAAGCCCCAGCATTGAAAAATAATATACACACATTTTAATATATATATGATTGTATTACACACACACACACACACACACACAGAAGATATATATATAGTGGCTGGAGATGTAGTTCAATGGTAAAGTGTTTGCCTAGCCAAGCACAAGGCCCTTGGTTTAGTTCCCAGCAACTAAAGAAAAACACTTGTTAAAATGACCCATAGCTGGGAGTGGTGGCTCACACCAGTAGTTTCAGCATTTAGGAAGCTAAGGCAGAGGGATTACTTTAGCCCTGTTTCAAAAATAAAAACAGCAATAATAACAACAAAATCCCAACCAAGTTGTAATGGTCCTAAGTTAACACGTAAAAACACTTGTTCACCACAACACTCGTTGGTTTGCGGAGTGATTATAACCCAGTTTTCTAAGCACTTTACATCTAGCACCTCATTTATTCCCCACACAACCTTGAAGTAGGTACCATCACTACGCTGGCCTGAGGCGGGCTCCCAATCTCCCCGCTTGACTCCAGGGCCAGCTGTGAGCTCAAGGGCCACACTTCCTCCACTGGACCCGGGGGGGGGGGGGGGGGGGGGCTACCACTCCTCCCACGGCAGCAGCTTCAGCTCTGCAGTCACTGTCACCTCTACCAAGTTACTCACAGCAAAGGTCTCCACTAACTGAAGGAACGGCTCCAGAGTTCAGCCCTCTGCACAGACACAGTCACACATTCCTGTCTTTTCACCAGTTCTGCAACAATCCTGGGACCAGGACAATTTGGGAACGGAACAGACCAAAAATGCTGCTTCTCAGCACTAGTCCTTTTAATCGGTGCCCTTACCTCCTTTATGCTGTCCCCTTCTTCTTAAAGAAAAGCAGAGGGCTCAAACACTGAGTTCTAAACCTGACACTTGGTTAAAACAGGAACAGTTTCAGTGGGAAGCTACATCAGTGTCTCACTCACACACACCTGACACCACCAAAATTTGTCATTTAATTGGATACTTTCATAGTTAACACAGCCAAACTACCCTGTGATTTTATTTTAACCTTTGAAGAACAAGGGAAAAAAAAAAAAAAAAAAGAGGACAGAACCAGGAAACTGGCTCAAGAGTGTCTGTACTACAAGCCTGATGACCTGAGTTCAGCCGATCCAGAGCTCATGCTGGAAAGAGACTGACGCCTGAAAGCTGTCCTCTGACATTATCACGTGTGAGCGGCATGCACAGCCACTCATGATCGAGTGCAGAGAGAGAGAGAGAGAATGAGTACAGGCTGCAACCCACTCACACTAGGGAGTCACCTGGGTATGCAAGTGGTCTGGTGTTGGTGATCTGGCGTGCTTTCATGGCTTGCTGTTGCTTCTCCAGAGCAGCTAGCATATCCCCTAAATCTAGCTGCACAGGAGTTTTATTCTTCTTTCCAGCTGCTTTTGATAAAGCTTCCTAAAAGGTGGACAAGAAAGGACTGATTCATTTTTTTATGACTGGGAAAGTCTGACAAATTACAATTATACTTGGCACTCCTGTTCATCCCACCAAGGCCAGCAGACAATCACAACTGTGCAGAAAATGACTTATACCTGCAATTTTTTTTGCTCCATACTTATTTCTGAGTATTCCTGTGCTGTGGCAAGGGCTGCAGCTAATGCTTTCTTCTTCTGACTCTTGGCTCGCTTAGGAACTGAGGTGGTGATGGGAATTGGAGTCTGAACTATATTGATGGGTGAGTTTTCAGGCAAGTCATCCAACTATGAAATGGGAGAAACACAGCTGGTCATCATTTCACAGAAGTCAAACCATAATGAAAGCCAGTGCAGAGTGAGGCCAGTTCTCATTACAGAAGGACTCAGAGTGCATGGAGTCATCCATAAGAGGGTGAGCAGAACCATTTTAGAAGGGGTGACAAAGGGACAAAAGCTGAAAACAACAGGTGATGCCCATCTGGAGATTTCCAGATTTCTAGGATATATATATAAAAACATACTAAAATCTATGTATTTCTCAATTGCACATTGTATGACAGTACTTACGGTTTTCTCATCTAACAACAACTGTGGATTTTCACAAAACTACTTTTGTTTAGGAAAAAGACGTTAAGGCTCAACAGGGACAGTAGTCTGCTGCCAAGACTGAAACCCTGGTCCCTGTGACACGTGGACAGAGAGAACCAACTCCTGCAAGTTGTCCTCTGTCCTGTCTTCCTCAAGTACACTGTGCACCCAACCACTCACAAACACACCCAGAGTAAATACAACTGCTGCAAAAATTGTAGAGGTGCGGGAAGTCAGCACTGAGCCCACTGTCCCCGCCTACCGTGCCGCCCCGTCCTTTTTCCCACAGAGTGCAAGCTGAAAGGTGTGCTACTGTTCTTATAATTTTGAAGGAGTTACTTACTACTTTTGAAGAAAGTTTCTGTTGAATATTCTCATCTTTAGAATTTCCATTCTCACTTGGTTCTTGAAACCCATCTTCATCCTGAAATAGTTTCATGTCAGTGAAGATGCTCTGGTTAATCCAACAAAGGGGTGTGTGAGGATGTGCCCACGTCTACATGGGGTACATGCTGTGTGTGTGCGGGGTGTGCACGTGTGCATACCTGCTGTGTATATGCGTATACACACATATCTGCATGTGTGAACGTGTGTGTGTGTGTGTGTGTGTGTGTGTGCGCACACGCCCATGTGTGTTTGCTGGGGATCGAACGCAGGGCCTTATTCTAGGGAACTACTCTATCAGTGAGCAACCTGCCAGTATAGAGACTTCTTATCCCATCTGACAGTTCTGAGAGGCAGGGAATAATGTTTGCGCCCTACTGTTGAGCTATTTTAAATCAGCCTTAAAAAGATTTCATTTCTCCCATGCTAAATCTATTTTTTATTCATGTATGAAGTCATACCCACATCCATTCATCCTTTAGATTTCTGTAACCACTTTTTCATTTTACACTAATTCTATCCTAAGATGGGCAAGTAACTAAAAAGAATTAAAATCGATTTTATCACACTCAAATAATTTGGAGAAGATTTTAAATAGTTTAGAACTCATTTTTAAAAAAATGTATTCCATTCCCTATTACATTTAATTTGGAGAATAATGTTTAAAATGTTATTATTCAAATCAATTTCTTAGTCAATATCCTTCTGATTTTATGGAAATAACCATATACGTGGCCTATAATTAAATTGTTATATTTATAATTAAACTATTCTCTGAGATTAAGATTAACTTTTGTTAAAAGGAAGGAGTAGAAGTAACATTTTATCAAATACGAAAATGTTCAACATGTACAAAATCCACAAGTGTTGGAAAGAAAAACTGGTCAATTCAGTCAATTATGCCCAAAGCCCCCGTTTCTGTGAATAGGGGAAACACTAAGTTGAGTAGGTTGAAAGCTGGGGGATGGCTTGCACGGGAAAGTGCTACCTTTGGAAAGCAGCTGCACAGTGGCAGGCAGAGACCCCAGCACTGAGGAAGTGAAGGCAGAGTCACGAGGCTCACAGCAAGCCCGCCTCACTTATCACACAGCTCCTGGCCAATGAGGGATATTTTGTCAAAAGTCAAGGTGGATGGTATGAGGGCCACAACCTGAGGGTGTCCTCTGGCTTCCACATGCCCACAGGCAGGAACCACACACACAGTAAACAAAGAAACATGGTCTTGAGAGCTGGCAGGCTGACCAACTCAGCGACCTCCCAGGCTCAGATCCAGGCCTAGCGCAACATCTACCTCCTCTATGATCTGCTGGCCCCTATGAAGGATTGGTCCTACAGATCCAAAGCTGCAGGATCTCCAGGCCACAGAGCAACAACACAATGTCTGAGAAGAGCCTCAGTGAGGATCCAGCAATGATAGAGTAGCAGAGGCCGAAGGCCTCAAACCAGAACAATGAAACATTGTAATGCACGTTTGCAAGTAAAGCTATGTGGACAAAAAGGCTATACTGTGTGACACACTACAGCTTCCACAATGAAAATTTTTTTCTAACTTATTTTTTTTTTTTTGAGGGGGGAGGTTGCAAAGGCAGAGGGCAGATACGAAGGGATAGGGAGATGACTGGGATTGGGGTGCATAATGTAAAATTCAAAGAATCAATAAAAAGTTAAAAAAAAATGAGCCAGTATGTCATCAATAATCTAACAGAATAACATGTTAAGACATGAAAATACAATACTTACTTATAACATAGCAAATTAATTTATTTTTTAAAAAAGATTTTTCTTTATTATTTATAGTGTTCTTCCTGCATATACACATGCAGGCCAGAAGAGGGCACCAGGTATCATTATAGATAGTTGTGAGCCACCATGTGGTTGCTGGGAATTGAACCCAGGACCTTTGGAAGAGCAGCCAGTGCTCTGAGCCATCTCTCCAGACCCACAAATTAACTTCTTAACAAAGACTTATTTTAGAATAGTTTACAAATATAATTTGAAAATTTACCTCAAAATATAAAGACTCAGAGTTTGGGTCACTTCTATGAGAGTGAGTGGAGTTTAAGTGTTTATTGTCTTGTCTCTTCTGCAAATTCTGTCTTCTTTCTGAGGAAGTACTGTGTCCTCGGCATCTGAATCCAACCTAAGTAGCCCCGGGGAAAGAAAATATTATTCTCAAGTAAGTGTTCACTGAGGTACAGAAAGCGTGCATAGAAACACATGGAGCACATAACTTTATTTCCAACAGGCAAGGCTTCTGATGAGACAGGGCAAAAACAAATGTGACCACTGCAGTGTACACCCATCTCCCAAGAAGCTGGACGTTTTTATCAGCTTTATTCACACGAGCCAAAGTCTGACGACAAGCTCAGTCCTGCAGGCGTGAACAGCCCCACTGCCGGGCTATGCCCACAATACAACAGAGTATTCGTTACACGGTCGTGAGTGTGAGGGGCTAGGAAATCCAATCACCTTGAAACATCTCCAGGGAACCAGCTGAGCAGAGGAGAGCCAACCCTGAAAAGATTACACAAACAAGTACAGGTAGGAGGACCAAAACCTCAAGGTTATCCTTGGCCAGCCTGGGCTAAAAAGCCTCTCTAGAGAAAGTTATTTAGTAAGAGGCCTGCCTTCAAGGAAATGGGCTGGAGAGGAAAAGTGGCAGAGACCTATGACATCAGCAGTACAGAGAGAGAGACAGGACCGTACCGTCGGGGCCAACCAGAGATGCAATACGAAGAGAGGCAAGAACATCAGTCAGAAATTAAATAAAGAGACACCACCACCACAAAAAAAACGAAAACAAAAACCAAAAAAACAAAAAGAAGAAGAAAGGTTAAAGGAAATGGAACTTCATTTAATAATATAAAGTGTTATTTCCCTGTTGCAGGAGCTGTTTGTATCTCCCAAAATTCAGGTGTTGAGATCCTAAGCCCTGGGAGATGGATTTTGGGAAGTGATTAGGTCAAGAGAGCAGAGCATCATGGATGGGATTTATGAAGCTATAAAAGGGATCCAGACAACTCTCAGCCACTCTTTCACTTAAGGGCAACAGTGAGAATGAGAACCAAGAAGCAGGCCTTTGGCAGACAATTCTTCACTAGACAGCCAATCTTCCTGTACCTGACCTTGGTCTTCTATATCTTTCTATTCATAGCACCAACTCTCTGACACTTTTTTATAGTAGCCCAACAGATCAAGAGATCTTACTAATAAGTCTGAAAAACGTTTCACTGTCAGAGGCAGAGAAAAAGCATGTATTCTAAGAACCTGAAGATACTTTTCATCTCTTGCCAAGAGTCACTGAATCAGGGAAGTTCAGTAGGCTTGTGGGCTTTCTGGAAGGTAGTCCAGTATTTTGCAAGGTTACCATGATGCACCCCCAGAATTGCTTCCTGCCTCTGCTCTCGTACTCCTTCTTTCTGTGCTGTTATATCTCTCAAAAATCCAGCATGGTGTGAACTGCCACTCTGATTAAGCAAACTTCCTATGAGATCTTTATGAAGATACACTGCTGTTCAGATGAACAATCATCTCCGTATTCCTGATAACAGCTTTACAGAATTTCTGACTTGATTAAAACTATTCTGGAAGTAAAAGTTTAAAAAGTTAGTAGAAAGTTTACAGCTGAGGCAGATTTGTGGCTTCAGATAATCTTTCACTCTGAAGATAGAACCATGAATCCTGGTACGCACCATAAATACAGGCAAGTTGGCCTGAACTTCCCATGAACCCAGAAAATAATGGGATTACCAGGAAATGTCTACATTAAATACAAACCTTAATGTCAATAAATATAAACTGTTTCGTTGTAAGTAACCTTGTCAGCTTATGGCATAAAATACTGTCATTGTTAGTATTTTGGAACACAACCTGCTTCTGGGTTACCTAGCAACCCATGATGATGTCATCAGGTGTCGCCAGCCAGCCAGGTGAACACACCTGGAAGGTGTGGTTATCGTGCCCCTTAAAAGGGCCGATAGGACACATGGTCTCTCTCTTACTCTTCTCTTTCTCTTTCTCTGGGAGGCCCCATCCCCCCCCTTTCCCTCTCTTTCCCCACCGTGCCCTGCTACCCACTTCCTCCATACCCCCTAATAAACCTCTCGAAGAGAATATATCAGTTGTCCCCCTGCTTCTTCTTCTTTTTAGTTTTTAACAGTCATTCTAAATTTATTTTGTTTCTTGGAGTGAAAGACAAATAAAATTATTGCCCTGAACTCACTATAAACTAAGAGAGAACTGGAAAATTAGGTCAGTCCTAATTAAAACAAATAAACAAACAAACAAACAAAACCCCAACAAAATAAATATAAATATATAAATATAAATATATATATAGTGTGTGTGTGGGTGTGTGTGTGGGTGTGTGTGTGTATACATATACTTGTAACCTTCTGGACCCTGTTAACCTTTAGGCCTTGTCAACCTTTGTCATTCTGAACTCACTATGAACTTATGTAATGGATACATAGAGAAGAAATGTTTAGTTTAAATAAAAACAAACATGTAACCTGTTGCATTTTTTAATCCGTTTTTGTGATTAATTACCTTTTTAACTGAGATAATTCCTTTTTTGACATAGAGTTTTGTCTCAAAAGTAGAAAACTATAACCAGACACTAAACGTTGATTGAGGCCTGCTGGAATTTGCTTCATCCATGAGTTTTAAGTATGTAAATATGTATAAAGATAGGTGTTTGCATGTAAATGTATCCATCTGCCTGGTTTTGTACATGTTACACGGTTGTATGTTAATTGTCTGTATGTAAGGAGCTCCTTTGTATCATCCATTGAATATGTATGAATATGTACAGGTCTGTATGTCTGATCATTTGTCTATGTGTACATAGGGGCTGATACTATGGAAACAGCCATAACAGCTGGTCAGAAAAGAGGTTTTCCTTGAGGGCGGCCTGAACTTGCTTCAGTTTTTGCAGAGGAGATTCCAGTTGAAATCAGCATCATCATATGTAAGCTTGTGAGAATTTGTTGGTTGAAATTTCGTGTTTCATCCATCTTTTGAGTGAATATGTGTGTGTGAGACCTATTCCTTTCCTCTCCTTTTCTCTTTGGTTCACAAAGGGTTAACAGGCCTCTAGCTTCTACCAGCAGCTTCACAGCCCCAAGCAATCAGCTCTGGTTGGGCCAGCCTCAGAGTGAGGACAGAGATTGCTGCACTGAGCTGGTAAACACCAGAAAAAATCTCTGGGTAAACAAAGGAGGAGCTCTTTGTCAGTCTAATTAAGACCACCGGTTATTAAACAATAAAGAGATTAGCTAAAGAGTGGCTTTAGCAACAGGAGACCAGAAGCCTTAGGTGGCTCAGTTGGTAAAGCACCAGGCCGGAAGTCTGGAGGTATGGGACTCAAACCCAAGGAAAAATATTTCTGAGTTCGTAGTAGCCACTCCCAAATAGAATAAGTTTTGGTATAGAAAAAGAACTGTCAGTCAAGAGTCTGACTGGCCCCACCCACTGTCAACCAGACATACACCTGACTCAGTTTTTCTTCCTGGACCATGGCAAAGCTGACTTTGACACCTCTGGATATTAACAGTCTTTTAAGAAACCTGTGTCAGCTGACATTATATGCCCCTCAGAAGAAATTAAAAAGACAAAAGACATGAGAAGTTCCTCTCCATCTAAGGTAGTTCTTAGATACCTACCTCAAAATCCTAACAGTGAACAATGTGAGGCAGCCATGGAGACAAAGTAAGGACATATGCTTCTGAAATCAAACACACCCACAGACTTACACCTGGCCTATTTTCATGCTTGCTGCTGTGAACCACTGAGTATATATGTATTAATGGTGTCAAAATTACTTATTTTGTATTATAAAAAATAAATGCAACTTGATTCTTAAATATAGAAATAAAAAGTACCAGGACTGCCAGGCATGATGACTACACCTGTAATTCCAGCACTAAGGAGGCAGAAGCAGGCAGATCTCTGTGAGTTCTAGGCTAGTCTTGTCTAGATAGTGAGTTTCAAGCCAGTTAAGGCTACACACACATACACACACACACAGCCAGTAACCTAAAACTTCCAAATTAACAGTTTCGATAAGATTCATGAAAACCAAACATTCCAACAGCCTCTGAACAGAATAACCTCATGATAACTAAGGGCCTCCATCAATCCTTCTAAGAAAGTCTGTTGCTAGAAAAGCACACAAGCCAGAAACAGCCTAGTATTCAGGAAGCAGAAGCAGGTTCACCTCAAATTCAGACAGCCTGATCTACATAGGAAATTCCAGGTTAGACAGGGCTAGAGTGGGGCTCTGCTCAAGAGAGAAGCAGGTACAATGAATAAAACAGAGGAATAAAAGGAGACAGGGGGAAAGAAGACAGGGAAGAGATCAAGATTCAAGCTGGATATGATGGCATACTTGTGACCCCAGTTCCTCAGAGGCTAAGGTAGTAGGCTTTAAGGCCTCCTAGACTCAATTTAGATTGAGATAAATCAAGCTAAATCAAGTATGAAGAAATAGATCAAGCGTCAGAAAGTAAGTAAAGACATAATCAGACATGTTCACAGAAAAGGAAAAACAAGTGACTCAAAAACATGGAGATGTCCAACTACATTAAACCTTTTGAAAATCTAATCATCCTGTTGATTGTTTTGGATGTTGTCTCCTCAAGTGACCCTGTTTAGAACTTGATTCCTGAAGGCTTTGGTGGCACTAAAAGGTGTGGACCGTCTAAGAGGCGGGGCCTGGGGCTGTGGGAAGCGCTCAGGCAGTATCGGTCTTGCCTTTGCATGAGGACCTGGGTTTGATCGTCAGACTCTGTTTTTAAAGGCCAGGTGTGGTGGCCCACACTTCTAATCCCTTTGGGGAATGCAGAGGCAGGAGGAAGTCTGGGCATGCTGGCCAGCTAGTCTGGCCTGGTGGGATTCAAGCTGAATATGACCCCTAGGTCTCTCTGGCCTTCTATAGGTGGCTTCCTTTCTCTTCTTGTATTTTTAAATGTGTAGCATATGCACACATTTGTCTGCATAGATGCACGTGTCTCTGCAGACAGAGGTTACAGAGAGTCGTTGGATGTCCTGCTCCATACGCTCAGTCTTACCCCTTAAACAGCCTCTCAGTGACCCCGGAGCCAGACTGGTGACCGGCAAGCTGCAGCAGTCTTGTTTCTGCCCAGATGTGTCAGGATTAGAGGTAGACATGTCCATGCCTGATGATCTATATAGGTGCTGGAGACTTACAGCTCAAGTCAGAACAGCAAGTGCTATGACCCACTCTGCCATCTCTCCAGTCCTGCAGTGAGCAAAACTGTTTGCTACTTTGAAAATCTAGACCACCATGTGTTACCATGCATCAAAGCTAAGTGTTAGTAAAAACAAATCTCAAAACATTGTACTATAAAAAGTAGCAAAAGGACCAGTGACAGATCCAGCAGGTAAAGGTGCTTGCTTGCAGTGGAGCCTGGTTGACCTGCGTTTGACCCCTGGAACCCACTTGAAAGTGGAAGAAGAGCACTAACTCTGAAGCTTTTTGCTGACCTACACACACACATATACACACACACACAAAGAACTAGTATAAATAAATGAAGATTAATATTTTCTGTAGGATTTATCTTCTAAAAGCCTTTAAAGCCTAAAAAACAAGTAGAAGTTGCAAAGGGGCATATGTTTTGACTTAAAAAAAGTTGGCACTTAGAAAAAAAATCAAGTATATAGTTAAGGAAAGTGTTAGGACAAGAAAACATCAGTAGTAGACAGAATGATACACTCTCAAAATCTGCCTCTAATGCTTTAGAAATGAAGAAACACACAAAATAACCAACCTGCTAGGTAGAGTGAACACAGCAACACTTGGGACACTGAGGCAGGAAGATGACACATTCGGAGCAACGTGTTAATTTGCTCCGTGGCTGCGGGGCAAGTGCCAGACTAGCCTCAACATTAGGGCAAGCCCCCCCACCCAAAAAAATAAATAAATAAACTCAATGCTTGGCTTCTTTTTTTTCTCACCAATTATTAGGCAGAGATAAAGCACTTAGAATGTTCTTCATCTCAGGGTCATTCCTTGAATGGACACAGATACAAAACAGACAAACAACAACAACAAAAACCAGAGGAGGAACTTGGCAAGGCAGACAGTTACATATTCCACAGAAAAAATCAGTAAACATCGTGTAGGTTGTGTTTAACCTTTATCATCAAATAAAGCTAAAGCCTCAAAAGCCTGGAACAAAAATGGCCTGACTGCAAGAATCACAGGGAAGGGGCAATATTCCTGTTTTCTTGGGAGCTTAAGAACTGTCAAGAAGTTATCTGAAGTGTCCATCTCAGGGAGGCCAAGAGCAGGCAGCACTTAGTATTCACAGCCCATTATCTGGCTCTTTCTTTTGGTCCATTCATATTTATATGGCAGCTTTAATTCCTTAACTAGTCGTAAGAAATCCAGGAAGTCTATCTAAAATGAAAAGGAAAAATAATGTCTAACAAACAACTCCAACTTGATTTGGACAGCCAAGTAACACATGAAGATACAGTCACTGTTGGTGCAGAGCTGAGCCCACTCTGCATGACTGTTAGGCGACTGCCACACTGTGGCAACAGGTAACCAGCAATGTGACAATGGCACCTGGATAGCAGAGTGTTAGTGAGCCACATCAAAATATCCACTGAAGAGGTGGTTCAACAGGCAAGGTGTTTGCTAGCAAGCCAGGTGCAGAGACTGACTCTTATCCTGCAAGCCTCGTCAACCTCACAGCCGCTGCATCTTTACGAATCTGCAGACCAGCCTGTAGTCCTTAAGCTCAAACAGCCATCCTTAAGAGAAGAGGGTCTAGGTTTTGATGGAGAAGGAAACCAACACAGCAGGGAAAAAGGAGGCAGAGTACCCTTTTCTAAAATTATGACATACTCACCCAGACACAAAGTAAAAACATGGTGGCATTTACACATGTATTCTCACCATGTTCACTCAACACACTGCCTTTTCATTATTTATGCTTACTGGCTAAGGCATTTAAGAAGTTATAGATATGAGAACTTCCTGTGTATGTGTGTGATGTGCATGCATGTGTGCGCCTCATGCATGTACATGTGTGTGTGAATCCTCAGATGACAACCTTAGGTGTCCTTTCTCAGAAGGCAACCACATTTTTTTTTTAAACGGGGTCTCTCACTGGTCTTGGGCATGCATGCCAAGTATACAATCATGTGTGTGTACCTTCCTCTGTATCTCTCTACCTCATTATGTGAGACACAGCCTCTCTCTGAACCTGAAGCTCACCGGTTTGGCCAAGCAGGCTGCCTCCCCAGCTCTGCGGTTATATAGATGCACACTGTTGCACCACAGAAGTCTAAGAAGATGCTGGGATCTTAGCTCAGGTCCCCATGCTTTATTGACAGCCCACAGCAGTTCACATTTAGGTGACTTTATGTACTTTTAAAACAGGGATACTGTGATTCCTAATGGCTATACCATTATTATGATAAATTTAATTTATTCACCTTGCACCTATTTCCAACTTCATTCAAAGTACCTGTGAATTATTTCTTTGTTCAGTTTGCCTTCCACCTCTAGAAAATGCCTGGTTTTTTTCCATCCAAGGTCTTTTCTGAGTTGCCTGGCAAGTTACTTTGGGCCAGTTTACACCACCTGTATCAAACATGTAAAGATATTAAAGATAAGATTTGCTGATAAAGGAGTCCAAATTCTAAACAGCTGAGTCACTACAGACAGAATTTTTCTGTAAGTTTAAAGTGGTATACGCATTCTTAACACAAATATCACGCTGCAAAACGACCTACATCACATTTTCTCAACATGTCTGGTAAAAGTATACGTGATTTTCAATGAACTTGAATCACTGGAGACTTACAGTTTTTCTTATAACACTGGTAAGCTCCACACTTAAAAGGAAAACTTGAAATGGACAAAGGAGAAAATACAAAAACACAAACTTTAAAAAATAAGTACCTGTACAGCCAGATGATTCCGAATGCTAAAAAACATGAAACAAAAAGGATGATTACTTTCTAATGAAGAGTCAACATGACCTCTTTGCAAATGTTTCATAACTTAACCTAGTGTTAAATATACTTATTACTAACTTAAAATAGTGCTTCATATTTTCAATAGTAAAGTACTATGGCTATAAAGACTTGCTTAAAAAAGAAGAAACAAAATACCTCAGCTTCAGCAAAGGACACAAAGTACTAACAGCAAGACTAACAAGCAAACAAACACAGCAAAGCAGCTGGGTATTACGCACGCTCGTGGCCCCTGCCGCAGGCTGGTTGTGGTGCTTGGGGCTGCAGTAGCCACTGTCGCTGTCAATGTCCGCCTCACTGGCCCCCTGCTCACTGGAGGATTCTGCAGCTGGGTGGGACGCTCTTCTCCTCCGGCCTTTGGCTTTCCAGAGCATTGTGGCTGTGCTCTCTGAGAGAGACTTGTTAGCAATGTCTGACGGGAAATCTACAAGGCAAGGCAAGTGGACAATTCTCTGTGATGACCAAGTTTATACATTCTTGTTCAACTATTAAGGTTCTAAGAAAATTAAAATGACAGTTTGTAAACGAACATGTGACTCTTTGAAAAGATCATTTAAAATGCTCCCAATAACTTGAAACACGGAGCCATCAGGAAAGTAAAATCTGTGTATCATAGAACACTGAAATCTAAAGCCACCACACATGCTCACCAGTGTACCATCCTCCCTCTCCATCACTCCTCACTGTTCAGTTTCACTTACTCTCCTCTACAGATTTTTCCATGGATGTCTCCATTTCTGAAACAGAAACATCTACTTTTACAGCTTTTAACTGTATTACTGAAATATCACCTCGTTCCCTGCTTCCTCAACATTAGTTTCAAATTCCGTTGTATGGAGCAATTAATTAATGCTATTGTGGAGGAAAAGTCCAACTGTGTTTTCAAATGCTGATTTCAGTTCCTTGAGATCTGGCTACCATCCCGCCATGGATATTGTTATAATGTTGACCTATCTCCTGTAAGCATGTGATGAGAAGGAATTTCCCCAATTATTCCTGATTGGCTAATTAAAAGGCCTATACGTAGGCAGGGCAGAAGGAGGTAGGCAAGACTAACGTTCAAGGGCTTTGAGGACAGAAGGATCATGAGAGAAAGAAACAGGAAGAGAAGGAAGAAGGAAGGAGAGTGGCCATGGTTAGCATGGAAAGAAGAACATGGCCAGCAAGGATGGAGGAAGCGGCCCAGATGAAGAATAAGCAAGTATTTATGAAATTCTGAGTGGGAGGGAGCCTGGGATGGGGCTGGGAGATAAAGGTAGTTTAGAGGGTTAATATCTGCCCTGTCCCAGGAAAGATAAGGCTATTCTAAAATCTATCAGGTGTCTCTGTCTTTTATTGATTATGATAGCAGGTGAGATATACCACTGTAATAATTATAGGCTAATAACAAACATTATTAGACCACACTTTTAAAAGAACTGCAACATGCTACTGTAGTACAGACAGCTTTTGCATGGATATCCCAATGTAGTTATCCTTTCTACCACTCCCAGCACACCCTGGTTGTTTTGCTATTAAAAACAACACTGCTGGCCAGCTAAGATGGTGTACAGCTTTAATTCTAGTACTCAGGAGGCAGAGTCAGGAGGACCTCCGTGAGTTCAAGGCCAGGCTGCTCTCTACAGCTGAGTTCCAGGCTATGTAGTGCTACACTGAGAGACTATCACAAAACAAACAACCCAATGTTGATTGGAGAGGGGGTGCATAATAATTCAATCGTGCACATAAAACTGTCAAAGAAGGAACTCAATGAAAGCTAACAGTCTGAGACTCTTGACTTACATGTGTGTACACGGAAGTTTCTGTAAGGCAAATGTCCTGAGTCCTGAGACTTTCAGGACTCACAGATTCAAACTTGATAATGAAAGTAGTTAAAGCAACCCACATTCCAAGAGTAGAATAAGGATGCGCTGATTCTCACACACACAAACACTACTTCTCCAACTGTAACATACAGGACACAGCTAATGTCTGCATATTACCTTGTATCTAGACAGTGGGGTTTTGGGGGGTTTTGTTTGTTTTTACATCTTAAAATTTTATGTTATATGTGTATGCACGGCATGAGGGTCATGGTGCCAGTAGAGGGGTGAACACAACTTGTGATAACTGGTTCTGTTCACCTATGATGTAGGTTCTGCCTATAGAACTCAGGTTGTCCAGTGTGACAACAAATACCTTTGCTTGCTGAGCCATCTTGCGGTTCTTTTTTTTTTTTTTTTTAATTCTAGCCAGCTTAAATTCTTATTACATAGTAATACAAGTAGGTTCAAAAGTAAAAATCTGCTACAAGTGGAAAAAAAAACTACATCTATAAAACGGAATCATTTTTATCTCTTACTTAAAAACAAACTAAGGACTGAAAATGCTGCTAGCATATACAATCTACTCAAATTACGCCTCCAATGCTTAGGTTTCAGGAGGCTATCCTTTTGATGATTTAAGTAACAAAGTATAGACAGTCTTTTCTTTTCTTTTTTTTCTTTCTTTGAGACTGGGTCTCTCTACACAGCCCTGGCTGTCCTGAAACTCACTCTGTAGACCAGGCTAAGCTCACACTCAGAGATCCAAATGCCAGTCTCTCTGGTGCTGGGATTTAAAACAAAGTGCTCTCCCACCAACCAAAAAAGAAAAAGCCGAGCATAGCGGCCCTTGCCTTTAACACTGGCTCTTGGGAGGCAGACTGTTTGAAGCTAGCCTGGTCTACAGAGTGAGTTCCAGGACAGTCAGGACTACACAAAAAAAACTTGTCTCAACAACAACAAAAAAGCATGTGCCATCACGCACAGCTCAGACAGTACTTTTAAGAACCTTGCTAGGGTTTTGCAAAGGGATGTAGGAATGGGTCACTATGAGGAGGAACAGCTCCGGAACACAAGGCTCCTCATAACTAGTCCAGGCATGTCAGCCTATCAAACCCACTGCTTTAGGCCCTATAAACTACATAGCACCAGGACATCAGCAAGATGGCTTTTAACTCATTCCCAGATCCTCTTTCTGCTCATGTAAAAGGTCATATGACTAAATGGCCAACAGAAAAGTCTGGATAATGGAAAGCAATGAGCCACCTTACTCACTTTAGTCCAGACCCTGTTTGGGGGATTTTCTTGTATGTGATAGTCTTTTTTAAAAAGATTTTATGAAAAAAAATTAAAAATAATTAAAAATAAAATTTTATAAGCATAAATCACTTATATGTAAGAATGAGTTTCATTATGATATTTACAAAGTTTTTTTTTAATTTATGTCTATTTTTAATGTGGTGGGGGAGGAATGTGCCTGTAAGTGCAGGTGTTCATAGAGACCAGAGGTATCAGATTCCATGGACTTGGAGTTACAGGAGGTTGTGAGATAACCTGGCATGGCTGCTGGGTGAGCAGCAAGCATTCTTCAGCACTGAGCCATCTCTCTAATCCTTACAATATTCTTGGAGACAGGGTCTCAGTATGCAGCTGAGCTGGTCTTGAGTTCACAAAGCAGAGACAGAATTCCCAACATAAGACAGACAGACAGACTAGGCAAAACAGTGAGGTCCAGATTCAGTGAGAGCCCTGACTCAACATAGGGAGAAAAGCAACGAGGACACTCAGCGTCAGCTTTGAGCCTGTACATTGACATTTACCCACACATGTGAGAACAAACAAACAGACAGACAGACTGACCATCGCCTTACCAGTTTGCTGTGAAGCATCTACCAGAAGCACAATTTTTGATCGGCTATCAGGACCTGCTGCATTTGTTTCTTTTTGAGTGGCCACGTTTTTCACCTGTGGTCTTTTGTTTTTTATATGTTGTTGTAAAAGCTGTGGCTAAGTTTAAACACACACAAAAGAAAAAGAAAAAAAAAGCAGTGAATGAGTGAATATATTAAGCATAAACTGCACATCCATTACAAAAGGCCTAAATGTACGCCATAAATCAGTGGTTCTTAGCTGGTTTGTGGAATTCATCACTGAAAGCCTCAGAGACTAAGCAGTGTGCCGTATGCACATTTACACGTATTTCTAGATAACCAGTAACACTATGATTAGTAAAATCTGAGTTCATTTTAGCTTTCACTTACATTTTTTTTTAAATCAGTTATTTACAATTAACAAGGTGTTAATACTGCCACATGAAGGGTTATACATTTTTACTTTAAAAGGTAATAAAAGCATAAAAAGTTAACCCTAATACTAAATTTAGGCTCATAAGAAAGATGAGCAAAATATTTCTGTCTTGGAGTCTAAACAAAAACATATTTAAAAGCTGATTTCTTTCTTCAGTTTTTACAAAATGAGAGTATTATTCCTCAATAGTAATTTACACACTAGTACTCTGAATTTAACTTCAAATTTCTGAAACTGCTGGGAAGGCATTCTGAGAAATCTCTTTCTTTCAACACCCAATTATATACTACTATCTTGCTTTTTAGTACCTATTTCCTTTCATTCTTGGCAGTACCAAAGAAGAGTACCCTTGACCCACAATGTTTCCAAGTCAAATATTTTTCAAAATAATTTCTGCTACTTGTTTTTAATTTTTAAAAATTATGTGAAAAGGCAGTGAAGCCTTTTTTACTGAGGAAATTAACTAACAGACTCTGGAGGGAGTGACAGTTCTCAATGGTCGTAACAGCAGAGAAATGTCTTCCACAAGTGCAACAGCACTCACTGATTATAGACACGCTTTTCTTAGAGCTTCAGGATAAGCCCTCAGTGGAAGAGCAGCCAGGATTAACTTTACATCGTGTGTGTGTGTGTGTGTGTGTGTGTGTGTATGTATGTATCTATCTATCTATCTAAAACCTAAGCCAAGTGCTGGCCTTGCACAGAAGTGGCTTCGTCACTTATTTGTGTTTTACAACTGCTGTTCCTACTAACAATTCAGAAGATAGACATTGAGGTTGGAGGGATCTGAGGAACCACTAAGGTTATTTTTCATTCTCCTGCTGATTTCACAAGACTGGAACAGCTTGAGGTACATTAACATTCAACCACATGATCCATTTAAATGTTGGCATTGCCACTGTGCAATTTTAGAACTAAGCTAAAATAACTTAAAAATAATTGTACATTATGTTTATGCAAAACTCTCTGAATGATCATGAAGATGACTTGAAATTACATTATCAATCAAGAGTGAGGGACAATGACTATCACAAGAAAAAATTGTTTTTAAAATAATATGCCTATAATACTTTCTATAAATGATGACTACTTGCAGCAAATTAAGCATTAAAGGCCAATGGGTACAGTAGTAAATTACTTTTACTAGCATTAACAACAGAAATATTTTATTTAAAAACCACACACAAAGAAAGTGGCCACTCACTTTTGGCACTACTGGCCCTCTATTGCCATTCCTGCTCCGATGACTTGACAACGGGAAGGCCTGCCCCAGCTGATTTGGACGCTCTGTGCATTCTGCGGTTATGGCATTGACAGTGTTTGCAGCCTGGAAGGTGCTGGAGTAAGGTGCAGGGAAAGGGTGATAGAAGCCCATAACTTGGGCACAGGGGGCCGGCATCAGCTGGTAATAGGTGTACTCTGCGGAAACAGGTGGCTGAGCAGATATAATGGGGTAGGCAAGGTAGGGTCCAGTAGGGCTTGGGCTGGGCTGCTGCCATCGTATATCATTATTATATAAAGGAAATTGTCTGCAAAACAAAACAAAACAGAAAGAAAATCTATTGATGAGTCTAAGAGTAATAGTTAAAGCAGAACCAACAGTAAAGACATACAGAACAGTGCCTTCACAATAATTCTAGGGAAGGGCTAACCTAATATCACCAAGTTTCTTTGCTGTCACTAGAGATGACCTGCACGTGTAGTAACAATGGGCCTGAGAGTATAAAGGAATCCAGCCTGCGAGCTTGTGCATTCCACATCCCTTTACTGTTTGCAAACCTGCGCTCAAGCTCTTCAAGATCTGTTTGCCTAAAAGAGAAACCCCTAGCTCCCGTCTACAGCTCACAGTCTGTGAGCATGCCCACAACTATGCTTGTGGGTATTATGATCCTTACATAGAGGCCCCCAACACCTTTCCTTACCCTAAGCATTTAGCCAACTCAGGTCTTATCCTGGCTTCTCTCCTTGGCAACTAAAGCTCCATGTCCAAAAATTTTAGGAAGAAGACTTCCCTGATACCTTTGTCCTGTATTCAGTTCCTACAGAACACCAGCAAGACGCTGCCCTTGGACTAGGACTTTTTCACAGGGTCGTCTGGTGGCCTCACGAATCACACATCCAGAATTATGTGTGCCACAAGGGGCTGTGGACATGTGGAAGTGCTTTGGCCCACAGACGATTGTGCAGAGGCACAAAGCCATGGAGCTTCAACCATTTATTCCACGGTGCCGAGAAATGCAGTTTCCTGTATGTGGCATAACTGGAAACGGGCTGAAAGTGCATCTATGTGTCAATCAATAAAGTGCAGCAGTGAGAGTCCTATCAGATGGCTGCAAGGGTCAGCAAGCACACTGCGACAATCACACGTCCTACTCTAGGTGCCACCAGGCTCATGCTATCTGAGCTGCTGGAAGTTTGCCAGATTAGGAAAACCAGCAGATGTGCATACTCACCAACTATGACACCTCAACGTCTGTCCCTCATGTTTTCTTCTAGTGCCAGACTCCATCCTGGCAGTCATGAGATTAAGTACCTAATCTCAAAAAATGGTTTACGTTGTACATATGCCTTGGCTCACTATACGTCAATATATTTCATTGACGTACTCAGAAAAAAAATCCATTTCATCTTAGAAAGAATAAGAAAATAATACATGTTGACAGCTTTCAAATTTCCGCATAGTTTACTTCCTCTTACAAAACACAAATAAGTAATTAAAGTTTGAAAGCTGCAGAAGAAAAAGACTAATGTACTTTGCCAAGTTCTATACCCCCACCAATAAAGAATGAAGAAATTACCTGTTGGGCTGGCTCTCCTGAACAAACGGGTAACAGGTAATCAGGTAACTGGGGACTGGAGTTGGCTCGACAGCAGAAACACTTCCATCATCACTTGGGAGAGCCATAGGGAGCACAAAGGCTTCCAGATTCTTCTTCTGAGGGATAAATGGCTCTACTTCAGCGGAAAGCTTGACATTCTTCAGAGAGAAAACAGAAAGCATGGGTTACAAATGAACAGCGCATGCAAACTTGGCACTTATAAAGAGTCTCTACAAACAATACCCACAGCACAGGTGGAAGGAACAACATCAATTTGAAGTAAGCAAACAACCAATAAAACAAGAAAGGGCCTCTCAAAAGTCAACACTGCAGTGAAATCATTTCTTATGCAATCGAGCTGCTAAAATAATCAAGAGTATAAGAAACTCACACCTCAGATCGAAAAATAAAATAGTAGTAAGAAATCTAGCTCTTTGGACAGAACTGTATTTCTTGCTAATTTTGTAAGGGGGCTAAGTCATTCAGCTCAAGTTCTGAAAAAAATTACATTTCTTTGAGTAGTTGAAAAAGTAGTCTATTTCTGCCCACTGCAGGAAATTAAGTTCCATATCATTAAATTACAATGAAGAGAAATGGCTAAGATGAGTCAAAAACATAAGAGGAAAATCATGTTTAATAGTTAAACTTGGAGGAGAAAAAATTAAGAGTAACTTTGGAGAGTAACTTTTCCCAGTAGACAGCAGAACACACCAATGTGACCCTAACGTGGACTTCCATCTTAGTCTCCTTGGTTCCTGTGTATCTTTCCTGTAATACAGTTCTAGACAGTTAAAAGCCTATAAAACTCTACTCTGGAAAAATATAAACGGGGAAAAATATTAAGAAAATAAGCTCCATAACTATCCAGACAGAAACACACTCTTAGAGAGAATGGAGCTGTGACTGCGTAGAGGAACCTGGAGACTCAGGGGTCCCTGAAAAGTTCTGTATCTTAATTAGAGGAACTTAAAAGCCATTCAACTTGTTACCAAGTTATTCATTGATTTCAGCAATTTTCTACAAGTTTTATTTAACAAATTTAAGTTTTTAAAACATAATGGCTACAGGAGGTGGGTACAGGGGCTCATACCTTTATTCCTAGCCCTCATAAGACTGGAGCAGGAGGATTGCCATGAGCCTGAGACCAGCCTGGGAAAACTAGTGAGTTCCAATCAGCCCAGGATATAACAAGACCCTGTCTCCCCCCCAAAAAAAAGGGGGGGAGGAGATTGGGAGAGACTGGAAGTCTAGTTCAGTTGGCAGAGTACTTACCTAGCAGGCGTGAAGCCTTAGGTTCAGTTCCTAGCACCACATGAATTGGGCAAGGTGGTACACATTTGGAATCCCAGCACTTGAGAGGTAGAAAATCAGGGGGATCATGAGTTCAAAATCATCTGACCTCTGCTACAGAATTCAATGCCAACCTGGGTTAAAGAATGCCTCAAAAACAAACAACAACAAAAATCTATGGTATATTTTTTTAAAGTCAGAATGTTAACTATGTAAATTTACAAACTAAAAAATACTAAACACTTTTCTAATAAAACAAGGTTGGTGAAATGCAAGACAACATTTCAACCACTCAAAACAATTACCTTAAGAAAATAATAGTCCTAATGACGACTACTAAATGTTCTTACTAAATTCATTAAGGTGACGTTTGATAAAAGGTCCCACAAAAAAAAATAGGTCTCTTTAATTATAAAAGAAATAATAAATGCATGAAAATGTGAAGGCAAGGAGTTACTTAGAAAATCCAAATGACCCATAAACTGTCCGGGGCACATCTGAGAAAGTCCTGTTACAGTGGGAAGATTGCAGCCACAGCAGTACCAACCCCACCCCTCCTCCCAACCTGCCCCACTGCACATGGAGTCTGCATTCACACCACTAACCAACCCTGAAGGAGCAAGAACACATACATCTTGTGACTATGAGAGCTACGGATGGTTTCCTGAGATACAACTCAGGCCAAATACCGGCAAGTGTTAGAGAGATGGCCATTTTCACCCAGCCACCCATTAAAGCTAAACACTGATATACAACATACCAACAGATGACTTCTTACTCAGAAAAAGAAACTGACTTCCAACAACAGTGCAGATTATGAAAACTCATGCTACAAAGTTTATATGTATACACACAAAAAGGAGTAATCCGATCCTAATTACACTAAGATGTAACTTTTTGGATAACCTTGAAAGATCAGAGTCCTCAACATGGAAGAGCTGTAAGAATTTGGACTAATGTTTATTAGTGTTTCATAAAGCAAGGACTATGAGTACACAGAAGAGTCTATAATGAAGAAAGGAGTCATAGTAACTCACTATAAAAAGCTTTCCTGACTCCTCTTCTGTGCCCCCTACAAAAACCAACAACAAAGTCATCAACCACAAAGCAGCCAGCAGCTGGAGAGAAGGCTCAGAGGTTAAGAGCACTGGCTGCTCTTCCAGAGGTCCTGAGTTTAATTCCCAGCAACCACATGGTGGCTCACAACCATCTATAATGAGGTCTGGTGCCCTCTTTTAGCCTGCAGGTGTACGTGCAGGCAGAACACTGTATACATAATAAATAAGTAAATCTTAAAACAAGCAAACAAACAAACAAAAACCCAAAGCAACTACTTTGGTAACAAATTCAAATTCTTGTGCAGATCAAAGTTGCAACAAACTTTACCCACGGCTAATTTGTACTTTGTATAAACATGTTATGACCCCAGGTAACTTGTTCAGAATGTCTGGCTACTTAAGCTGCTGTGTGCACACAGGCGTTCAGGCACACACATGCACACGTGAAGAGACGCACACATGAATGCATCTCTGAAGACTAAGGCTCGTACTGGTTTCTGCTCTAAGCAGTGTTAGATACTAAAGTTCAACAAAGAAGGTCACAAACATTGAAATAACCCTTTGTTTTTTAGCAAAGAAAAAGAGAAACCGCTGTAGTCAGCAGATGCACAGGCAGAAGACGGCACCAGAAGGAACAGACCGACAGCTTCCCCTACAGTTCCAGCTTTACATGTTCTCCGAACATGTGACTTTGGAGCCTTCAAAGATCTGCCATACATCTAAACAAACAGCCCAAAAAGCAATGCTGAAGGCAAACAATGCTTTAAAATCCAATGTCAAAATGTAAATTTTTAATAAAAATCAAAGAAAAGTGTCTTTGACAATATTGAAAATTTAGACTAGTTACTTGACATATTATTCCTCAACTTGAATGTCCATGTTTTAGTCACTAATTTTTATTGCTATTTTTAAAAAGTGTCTCACTATTCGCAAACTAGCCTTGAACTCATGATCCTCCTGCCTCATTCTCTCATAGGTTTGCCCCACTACATCAAGATAATGATCTATAGACTTACATACATGTATTTAAAGGTTTCTTTCCTTTTCAGTCATACATATGTATGTATGACTATTTGTGGTTATGTGCAGCAAGAGGGGTAGAGTTCTGTGGAGCTGGAGTTTAAGGTGGTTGTGTGCCACCCTATGTGGGTGCTGGGAGTTGAACTTGGGTGCACTGAGGAGTCCTATGCTCTCTTAACCACTGAGCCATCTCTCCAACCCCTTATTACCTGCATTGTGAGAAAAATAAATTTTACAGAAGTGAACTGTTATCTTACTGTAAGGAAAATGCAAGTAGGGGATGCAGACACGGTCAGCAGTTGAGAGCACCGGCTGCCCTTCCAGAGGACCCAGGTTCAACTACACAGAGCTTCACAACTGTCTGTAACTCCAGTTTTAGGGTGTCCGATGCCCTCTTCTGGTCCCTACAGGCACCAGGCATGCATATGTGCACAGACGTACATGCAGCCAAAACACTCATATACATAAGAAAAGTAATAAAAGATATAAAGTGTGAACTACAATGACTGTATAACCATTCTTACATTTCTGTCTGCTTCAAACACCAAGATCAGTGGTAAAATTATCTTTTACACATTATTTCAGAATTTCCTAAATCAATGAAAAATCTAATTCTACCTGTTAAAACACTTATGCATTTCACTTATTTTTATTGTTGTACCTATTAAAGCAAATGTCAATAATAAAATGTCAGTTATACAAATAATCTAGAAAGGCAAGGATGCTATCAGAGCATCCTTAAGTAGTTCAGTGGGACCACAGGGGCCTAGATGACAACCACACGGTCAGGAGCTCCAAAGGCACTGTACCAAGGCAGGCAAGGAACACAGGCAGAGAGCACTCAGAAGCACACAGCAGCAGAGAATGCAAGCTCAACTCCTCAGAGAAGCCTCAGAGAGAATGCAAATAATCTCCCAGATTAAGCGACAGAAAAGTGACACCCACCTAAAGTCAAAACTGAAGTAGAACATAATGAGCCATTCTCCCACAGAGAAACTTCAGAGCATGTACCACACACCCACAGGAAGAGACAATGGAACCTCCACACCCCATGTTAAGGTGGAAATGCATCAACCACTAAGGGCTTCTCACACCTCATGTACAGATAAACCAAGTGCTAGGGGAGGATGAATGAAGCCTCGGACACCTGCTGGCTCCGCTGTCTAAGAGTGAACCGCTTGCCAAGAAAAACTGCAGCAAGCGTCAGTGTTCAAGACTTCAGAGGACACCAAGGAAACGGGCAGGGGTTTACACAGTAGAGCCCACTGACCTCCCAACCCACACACTTTTCCACGGGACTACTACTGTCTATACAACTTGATGGTGTTTTATTAAAAAAAAAAAAAAAAGCACCCTTTAACATGTAATATTAATTTTCATAGTATCTAACATCAATTTCTGCTTTTACACTCATTTTCTTTCTTGGTTTACATAAGTTTTTCCCCCAACGTCTTGCCTTGGATGGATAATTTATTTCCTTTTAAACTACATAACACAGAGTATTAATGACTACACTTCTGTGTCAGAACACAACTGCAGTCATGCCTCATAGTTTTACAGGTGATAATGTGGTTACGCTTTTCTAATAACCTATCATCCTATTTTTTGTCTGTTTTTGACCTTTGGTATTTAGCTAATATTTTTCTAATGAATTGTCATTTTGGTTTTTGTTTTGTTTTGTTTTGTTTTTGACATAAGGGCTTGAAATATCTTTTTAAATCTCCAAATGTTTTCTCTAAATGAACACACTCTCTGATTAAGAGTATTATTCTAAAAATACAGTACGTCTGTTAACTTCCCGTGAAAATGTCAGTTGTGTGACCGGAAAACAAAGGTTTTATCGGAACACTTACATTACAGTTGTCCCTCACTGCCCAAGGCGGGTTCCACGGATGCGCAGGTCTGGAGTTAGCGTGGTACTTACAGACAGGGCAGGCACATGTGTGCTGTGTATCTGTCTCTCCGCTACTTACAGCAGTTACCAAATCCAAGGGCTACGTAAGTAGCTCCTATGCTGTGCTGGTTAGGGCACGAGGACACAAGCCTGCACATGTTTAGTACAGACTCAACTTTTCCCGCAAAGTACTGCTGACCCAGCTGCTTGTCTGAGAGGTGGAGCACGCAGATGCGGAAAACTGGCTATGCGCTGAGTTTGGAGTGTCGCTACACACAGTTAACACAATTTTGTATCTGTTCACGTGCATGTGTGGTGTGTATATGGAAATGTGGCTAGGAGGCTTTCGGGAACTGTTCTTTCCTTTCTCCCCAGGTTCCAGGTCTGCAGACTTGGTGGCAACTGCTTTTACCCACTGAACCACCTCAGCAGCCCAGTTTTACATTCTTATTTGTGACAAAACTACACCAAGTGCCAGGCATTCAGTGCACTTGTGTTTCTAGGAATGAAAGAGGAGAATAATCAGTGATTTCTGTAGATCCTTCTAGAAGACTGTACCGAATGCACTGAAGTTAAGATGACTTTAGAGTACTGGGACACTATAAAACAGCCTGTGAACCTCAGGGTCCTGTCACTTCCACGCTCATTATTTATTTAAAAATTCCAAAACAGTCCTAGGTTTCCTAAAAACAGACCCTGAATCTCTATAAACAAATGAAATTCATAATTCATTCCTCACATCCCTTTACACAGCTTTATTATCATCATCATTAGTATTACTGAGCAAGGAGAGGCCATGGAGGCAGGCAGATCAGTAAAGTTCCTGTGGGAGCACAAAGACTTGAATTTAGCACCCAGTGAAAAAGCCAGTGCAGAGGTAGGGCCCTGTAATCCCAGAGCTGCCAGGGAGAGGCAGGAGGACCCTGGGGCTTGCTGGCCAGCCAGTCTAGCTCCATCAGTGAGCTCTGTGTCACAAAAGTAAGGTAAAGAGTAACTGAGGACAATACCTGCCCAATTTTGCTTGACCTCTGACCTCTACATCCACACTATACAAGTAAATTTACCTCGTGACTCTGGCAGTTAACATTTGAGCTATTTATTTTGAGCTGATACACCTGGTAAAAGAGGACACACCTGAGAGGCGCTTCTGGCTGTAAGATGAACTCAGTGAGGGCTATCCATCTAGCACTAGAGCAACAATGACTTCCTCCTTATACACATGGACAAGACATATCTTTTCATAAAGAGAGCTTATGTGAACGATGAATTATAAATATGGCATTAATGCCTTCAGATACAAAAGTTTAGATTTAAGTTACCCTTGTGCAGTCCTCCAAGGATTTATTAATTAGGTTAACTCGAAATGCAACAAGTCTATGCGTACAATTATGAAAAAAAACTAACTTACGTGAACTGCTAGGCACTACAACAGTTAAAGCTCTGGGCATTTTCGGAAATTCTGACTATAAGCCAAACCAAAACATTGGGGGGGGGGTAGGAATTTGGCACATACCACAAATACTTCTTGAGGGCTCTTTACCTATCTAAATACTGTTTAGTCCTTCTCCCACTGCAGGCCAGGCTGAAGCAAGAGGTACTGGAGGGAAACAAATCACCTTCGATGTAAAATACTTCCACATGGCTTTCTTCTAGCTCTTGGACTTCCAAGGGTTTTAGGAGATGGTGGAGTTTGACGGATGACAGAGGAGGCGACTCTCTAAATAGTCTGGTACAGTTGCTCTTAGGATAATCACACGCAGAGAGCTATGCTAAATGTTGCCACCTAAATAGGTAATTACATTTCCTCTAAGATGAAAGGCGCTGTTAGTACACGCATGCATTACTGGTTCCTGAGTGTCCATGAAGGACCAAAACGTCCCACCCTTTCATTACAGACGCACATGCAAGGAAATGTCCTTTTCCTTTGTCAAGGTTTGATTTTTTTTTTTTTTCAGAATTATTTTCACAAATAACGTTTTAACTAAATTTGCTACAAGCTGTAACAGAATACTCTGGGCCACAGCAAAGTGTGTATTTACCAAGACGTCCAGCATCAATTTTTCCTTCGGTAATTTGCACTCCTTAATGAAAAAAAAAAAAGACTTGTATTCGCATGAAGCTTTTCGTTCCGTTTAAATTAAAGTCTGTGTGGCAAGGCTCTGTGCAAAGTGCTGAGGCAGGAAGATCGCCCCTAAAAGATCTAGGGGGAAAAAAATTGAAAAGAGGGCAATTCAAAATCAAAACTGTCATTAACTACACACAGGCATATACAGGAACTTGGGAGATGGCTTGTCGTTTGTTCGAGTTAATTAACTATTCGCAAAACTAACAGGCAAGTAAGTCATCCGTGTTCCTTCTCCCTTCAATTATGTCACTGACTGACCAAGGCCCTGGGAGAGGAGACTCGGCAGTGAACAAAAATTAGACTCAATCAAATTAAGTCGTTTCCAGAGAAGCTGTAAAACGCTGGGGGGAGGGGGAGGAGGAAGCATGACATTATTCTCTTAAGTTATTTTTCACACTGTCATTAGCTCTTCCTCCCGGCACTTCCAGCAAGAATTCGATGCAATCAAAGACTCAAGAGGGCACTGATGGAACTACTGTGCGCATACGAAAATGGGCTCAAAATGAACTCTCGCTCCGTTTTCAAAAAGGATAGTTATTTGCAAAATAACTAGGTAGGAAAGCAAGGGGAAACCACGGTAGCCTCTTCACAAAAAGGAATACACTCCAGAACGTTAACAAGGGCGACGCTGGTCGCCGCCGAGCACGGACCGGCCGCGGTCCACCTCTCCCGGCCTTCCAGCGGAGGCGGCCCGGCCGGCCCGGAGGCCCGGGGGCAGCCGGGGAGCTCGCGTACCTGCTCGGCCGGCGCTCGGTCCATGGCGCCGGCGACGGGCGCCGGCTCTAGTCGGTGTGCGCAGCGCCGCGGGCCGCTTTCGCCATGGCCCCCCGCTCGGTCCCGCCGGACTCCGTCCGCTCCGTACCGCCGGCCCGACGCCGACTCGGCTACGCCACTGGCCGGGGAGGCGGCTCCAGCTCGCGGCGGTGGAGGCGGCGGCGGCCGCCCCGGGGAGGGATCATCTGGGACGGAAGCCGAGCGGGGCCGAAAGGACCGAGGCGCAGTAGGAAATGGAGGCGCGCGGGGGGCGGGGAGGGGGAGGCGGGGACTGGCAGGGAGCGACCGGAACTGGGGGAGCTGGCGGGCGGCCAAGGCCAAGGGCACTGCCTAGGTGGGTGTCCCAAGCTACACTCCTCCCAGCGTGGTTTAACTAGGTGAGTTGGGCCGCCTCGAACCCGGGGCGCCGGTGTTCAGTTTGCCGGGACCTCAGAAATTCTTCAGGAGCCAAAACCAACTAGGGATGTTGGAAAAGCTTGTAGCTGCTCACTAGACCTGTGATCCTGCCTGGACTTTGAAAAAAATAGACAACAGTCTTGCCCTCAGAAAAGCACACACATAAATGCACACAGAGAGTAGCCGTGGAAAAGAAGCCCTGTTAAAAAGCTCCAAAAATGATTAATTAACGTCATTATCCAGGTGCGGACTCACATCTAGCCTCAATTCCAGGTTCTTTCTAGCCATCTCAAACCCCATTTGTACCAGAATCAGAATAACTATCCAAGAAGTGATTATCCACTCCTCTGCTTTCCCTGTGTTCCTTTTAATCCTCAGATCATCAACTCCTTAAAGACAGAGTCAGTCTCGAAACTGGATCCTGCTGTTAAGACACCTCTGGGGAGTTAGCCTCCAACACACAAGCTCTCCAGAAGAGCCCTGGCCTGATAAAGTGAATCGGCTGAACTATATATACCTCAGTAAAGAAAGAGAATAGACTTGGCTACCGTTTGGGTCATGGGTGAGCGGATCAAGGTCCAGAAAAGCGAAAGAAAAGGCTAAGAAAACTGCTTCGTCATCACACTTCAGGACAGGGTAGTAAGGCCTAGAATTGCCTTTTTGGTTAGCCCAGGTTATGAATCTGCCAGGAGAGGCTGGTGAAGTTCCTCACCAAGCTGTTCTGGAAGCCGAATATGTCAAGAAGACATACGAAGGCTGGGATGCAAACAACATGGTGAAGAATCATTTATGCTTGCACACGGAAAGTTTCCTGTGTTTGGTTTCATTCTTCCGCCACATACACACTTTTATTTTAATTGCACACGCATTTGCGTTAAAAATGTGCAAGCCGTGCAATGTTACATTTAGAGTCTAGCACACACCCTTGCTCGGGATTCAGTGACTGCAGAAGGAATTTAAGGTTGTTCCACAAAACGAAGCTATTTATATAAGGTAGTTACATAAGCCAGCAGATGCTCACCCTCCTTCCCAACAGAAAGATGAAATGAACCGTGTCCCTTCTGGTGGTCTTTAGCTGCGAGACACCCCCATGTGAGTAAAAAGTCACAAATGTACCATAGTATTTGAGGTTTCCCCCTTCTTCCAAGGATCTGCAAGAGGAAATTTAAATGCAGAACTTCTAAATTTCTTTCCACATTATATGATTTTTGTGAGTGAAATTGTTCTTGCTGAGACTCTTCTAAGTCTAATATACATGTAAATTACAAGAATTACAGAAACAAGTGTCACAGTACCATATTAATTTAATGTAATCCTAAAAAGGATGGCTATGGGGGTTGGAAAAAATATTAAATCTATGAAGAAAACAAAGAAGTGATATATTTGCATCATTTGCAAGTGATACAAATGACTTATTTCATTTATCAACAAATGTTAATATATTCAAGGTGTCAAGTACAATGGTAATTCTGGAGGTACAGAAATTAATAAGACACGGTGAGGGCAAGATACACACACACACACACACACACACACACACACACAGCAAGTGCTTCCAAAAGAGACATATTGTGACAAAGAAGTTCAGTAAGGATGGGGATTGAAACCAGAGAAGGTGGGTCTGAAAGAACAAAGTCTAAACAGATCAAGCAAGCACTGTAATGGAACTGAGGTCACTGTTCCAGCTGCTTGGTAGGAATTATGCAAGCTTATGGCTGCCTGGGCTAGATAGTTAGGCAAAGGCTAGCTTGAAATTTAACATTCTAGTTCAAAATAAAGAATAAAAGGGGACAGGTTGCTGGAGATATAATTCAGTGGTGGCCTCCATGCCTAGCATACATGAGGACATAGGTTCAACCCCTAGCAGGGCACCAAAACACACATACAGAGAGAGACAGACAGACAGAGAAACATATGAACAAGCTCTCTGAGGAATTTGGAGATGCAGGATACAAAAACCACTAAAAGAAACTGACCTCCAATGGAAGTAGAGACAGTCCAATGTGACAGAAGGAAAGGAAGAAAAGATACCTTATGGCTAGAGTTGTACTTACTCTAAGCTTAGTGTCCAGAGTTAAAAAGATGAGGTTTAGTAGCTTTTGTTTTCTCCTTAAAATAGAATGCAAGGTTATCTGCTGAGGGTGAGGGTGAGAGTGGTGGGAGGCTAAGAAAATAGTCCTGGAGGTGGTGGCTGGTGCCTTTAATCCTAGTACTTGGGAGGCAGAAACAGGCTGATCTCTGAGTTCAGCCTGGTCTACAGAGTGAGTTCCAGGACAGCCAGGGCTACAAAAAGAAACCCTGTTTCAAAAAACCAACATGGTATGTGTGTGTGTGTGTGTGTGTGTGTGTGTGTGTGTGTGTGTGTGTGTGTTTTATCTTTTTTTCTTTGAAAGAAAGAGAACAAAGTTGCATGGGTAGGGAAATGGGAAGGATCTGGGAAGATTTGGGGGAGGGAAAAATAATCAAAATATATTTCGTGAAAAGAATTTAATTAAAAAATAATTAATATATTTTTTTAGAAGATGTGTGCATGTCAACAGATGTAAATTTTACCACAAACGATATGTAGTTGCAGCCAAATCTTGTTCTAACAAATGCACACAACATTGTAACCTGGTCTTTATGAAGATATAAAATACTATCCTTGTTTCCAGTGATTGCTCGAACGTCTCTTTTTCTATCCGGTATTTCCCTCACATGCTGTAGTGTCTTCACCAGCCACACCAATGCCAAGCATATTACAAGTGCTTGGTAAGTATTGAAGAAATCAAAGGCTATCAGCTTCTGAGGTATGGGCACTCTCAGTCCATGCCCTGGGGGACTCAAGCAGGCAGCCTTTTGAGATGGAACCCTTTTTCAGAATCCCTTCCCGTCCGTGCAAACTTGTACAACCACTTTGAAAATCAATCCGGCACTTTCTCAGACAATTGGGAATAGTGCTACCTCAAGATCCAGCTATACTACTCCTACACATATACCAAAAGATACCCAAGGACATTTGCTCAACTATGTTCATAGCAGCTTTATTTGTAATAGCCAGAATCTGGAAACAACCTAGATGTCCCTCAACGGAGGAATAGACACAGAAATTGTGGTATAGCTACACAATGGAGTACTACTCAGCTATTAACAATAAGAAAATCATGAAATTTGAGGGAAATGGATGGAACTAGAAGAGATCATCCTAAATGAGGTAACCCAGAAACAGAAAGACTGGCATGGTATATACTCACTAATAAGCAGATATGAGTCATACAATACCGGATAGCCATCTACAGATCTAAAGAAGCTAAACACTAAGGAGGACCCTAGGGAGGATGCTTAAATCTCATCTAGAACGGCAAACAGAATAGACACCAGAAGCAGTGGAAGAGAAAAAACAGGATGGGAGCCTATTATAGAGGGTCCTCCGAAAGGATCAAAACAGATGCTGAGACTCGGGGCCAAACTTTGGGCAGAGCGCAGGGAGTCTTATGAAGGAAGAGAGGGGGTGAGATTAGAGGGAAATAGAGGGGAGAGGAGTCCTACAAGGAGACCAACAAAGCTAAAAGATCTGAACCCAGGGGGTCCTGCAGAGACTGATGCACCATTGGAGGACCATGCATGGAGAGGACCTAGATACTCTGCTCAGATGTAGCCTATTGGCAGCTCAGTCTCCATATGGATCTCTGAGGGAGGGGCTGCCTCTATCATGAACTCAGTTGACTGTTCTCTGATCACTCGCTCCTGAAGATACAGCCTTGCCAGGCCACTGAGAAAGAGGACGCAGGCAGTCCTGATGAGAATTAACTAGCTATGGGTAGATGGCAATGGTGGAGAACTCCCCCTTTCAGTGAACTAGGGGAAGGGGATGAGGGGAAGAGGGAGGGAGAGTGGAACTGGGGAGAGTTGAGGGAGGGGGCTTCAATCAGGATATATAATGAATAAATTGTGAAGAAAAAAATAAAAATAAATTAAAAAAAAATTTTTAAAAATCCCTCCCATCAAACTTTAAGGCATTTTTTCAAACTTTCTTATCCTATGGCTATCTAGTCAGCTTTACCTCTGCCTACCTATTAAACCATCTTATTTTAGGTATACACCAAAGCAAATGGCAAACTTCAGTACACTTTTTTTTTTCCCCTGGGGAAAATGAGTACATCTACAGAGTGACAGTTAGTAAAAGCGAAGCTCATCCACGGTGTTTTCTAAACCCACAAAGCCTTTTCTCTCTTTCCTGGGAACTTGGATATCTCAGTAAAGTCCCTGTATTCTCTCAGGTTCTGGGAGTTGCTGTCAAAGTCGCCAAGCATTTCCCTGAAAGCTCCTCTCCGTTGGCTGGAGGTTAGGAGAAGCGGCTCTTCTGTCCTGAGGTAGAGGTGGAAGCTAGCTAGGTAACAGATCTCTCCATGTCCACGCCGCCGCCACCACTGTCGCGCAGCCTGGAGGTGAGCGGTGGGAAAACAGTGCCACAGGTCTGAGGATGTCTGAGAGGCTGTTACATGTAGACAAGTACCTGGCTTTAGGGTAAAAACCCCTGGTGCCCAAGGTGTTGTCTGCCAAGGACTATTCTTGAATGTAAGCGTACGTGGTGATTTACTTAACAAAATCTTTTGCGTACTGCTAATGATGTAGGAAACACTGGACAAGGTAGTGAGACTGTGAGAGTAAATGAGATACTGTTTCTGCTACCGTGCAATTTACCAGCTCCTCTGGGAGATGAACAATGTGCATATTTTTAAAGGGTTACAGTGACGAAGAGGAATACCATGAAGGAAATAAAA